GACCATCCACATCATCATCATCACGTGCGCGCGTCACCTTAATTGACATACGTTAAAATCTAATCCCCCACTGGTGTACACGTTGTATGTTATATATAATATAGTTTTTTTTTTAAAGAGGTGAAGGATTGGAGTACAACATTTAAAGTTTGAACACACCCCACAGAAAGACAGATTTCCCGCTCCCACGTATCACTGCCGGATGATGCTAGCAGCTAAAATATCTGCAAATGAATCGATTGGCGTTAGTCCGGGTCACCGCAAAAATATTGGTGGCATAGTTTAAGGTTTTTTCTTCTTCCTCTTCTTCTGGGAGCATCGCTGGTACCACCATCCTGTCCTGCCGGAGGGCGACGCTGGGAGCGAGGACGATGTCGATCCCGCCAGCAAGACCGTGACCGCCGGCCGTACTAAGAGATCCCCCGGTGCACCATTGCCTCCGAGTGGTCTCGCTCACAAAGACAAGGGGGGAGGGGGGGGTGGCCGCCGCCCCCCCCGTGATAAGCAGAACGCGCCGGGGAACGACCGGACCAGCATCCCGATGTACTTTCAAAACAAGCGATAAACAGCCGTTGCCACGCACAAATCCTCAGCAGCCCCCCCTTGTTTACGGGTGTTTTGCGTTGTTTTTTTTAATTCACGTATTTGGCGTTGCGTATCGGGCTCGGTGACATCTCCCCGTCTTTCATAGGCCTTCTGGTTTCGGAGTTAGGGAGGTTTTGGCACCCCCCGGGGGTCACCGCCAAACGATTCAAATGTAGCGACGGGGCCCCGCTCTAAATGATCCCAAGCCATCAATTCAGATTCGGTGATCCTGCAACTTGCTCTATCACTATAGTACTATACCGCCCTTCGACTGCTACGAACGACCGGGGTGTTTAAGCTTGGCGATTTATCGTATTATCTGGCTTTGCAGCAAATGATGAAAAAAATATATACATACAATTACTTTACTATGTGAGTTAAAAATGTCTTTTAACGTTCATGTTTTTTTTTGTAAATTGAGGGCCCCGTTACAACATATGCCACGGGCCCCGCACGAGCTTCATCCGGGCACAGCGCCCCCCGTAGCTCCGGAACAGACTGTTGGGGCAAGTGCTGCTAGCTGAGCGGCGCCCGCGAACGCCGGCACGGACACGGCACCACGGAGTGCTTCAAGTTGTCTGTCCACCACCGCGGCCCGGCCGCCTTTGTCTCCCCCCCCCCAGTGGCGACGCTCCAACGCGCCGCACCAGGGGCTCATTCGAGGCCGAGTGGAGGACCCCCCCCCCACCCAGGACCGGTTCAGATGATCGCCGCTGGCGTTGGTGGAACCCCGCGTGGAGCTGAGACCGCCGGGGACTTCGTCGGCCCAGACGCGCTAGCCCGCCCACCCACCGCACGCTACCGGCTCCCCTGCGACTAAGATCCCCGTGCAGCAGTGTGACCGGATTGTTGTTGCGGCAGGCGCTGCTGGCGAGTGAGCGCCTGTGAAGGCCGGCACGCCACACGGAGGTGGGGGGGGGGGGGCGGTGGCCAGCACCGCGCCCGGCCGCCTTTGTCTCCCCGGCGGCGATGTTTTGACACGCAGCCAACCAGGTAACTCATTTGAGGCCCGACTCGACCTCGGACCGGTTCAGATGATTATCGTCACTGGTTGTTGGCCGTGAGCGGGAATCGCTGCGCTAACCACTACGCTACCACTCCGCCACAAAGATAAAGATCCCCCGTATAGCCTGTAACAGACTGCAGGGGCAAGTGCTGTAATCGAGCACCTATGAAGGCCGGAACGGCACGCGAGGGGGTTTGGGTGGCCAGCACCACGCCCGGCCGCCTTTGTCTCTCCCCAGTGGCGATGTTTACTACACACCGCACCGGGTACTCATTTGAGGCTGAAGTCGACCTAGGCGAGGCCCAGGACCGGTTCAGATAATCGTCACTGGTTGTTGGCCGTGAGCGGGGAATCGTTGCGCTAACCACTACACTACCACTCCCCCCCCACACACACAGACACCGCCTTAACATCACAGGAGCCGTGGATGTGTGGAGAATCAGAAGCCCTGCGGCTCTTGTGGATTTCGTCCTTCATCTGCCCAACACCTCGTTAAGTGTTAATTGCAACAGCAGCAGCAGCTCGGCAAGCGGGCGGGAGAGAAGGCGAAGTCTAAAATACCCACACGCTTTAAGCCCCAAGTCCCGTATTCACTTGTGCAGGGAAAATTTAGTGTTCAGCTCCATACGGCGTACAACCGTTTTTAATACGGGCAATAAAAAAAAATAATCTATTTGTTTGCGTTTCTCCCTTGTGATGGGACTTTGTAAGGGGCACGGAATGAGCAATGAGGTCTGAATTGGTCTGTAGCAAGGTAGGGCACTGATAAGGGGTTGACGGCTATGTAGTGGTGAGTGTAGTAGTGGTGAGTGTACTAGTGGTGAGTGTAGTAGTGAGTGCACTAGTGGTGAGTGTAGTGGTGAGTGTACTAGTGGTCAGTGTACTAGTGGTGAGTGTAGTGGTGAGTGTACTAGTGGTGAGTGTACTAGTGATGAGTGTACTGGTGATGAGTGTACTGGTGGTGAGTGTACTAGTGGTGAGTGTACTAGTGGTGAGTGTACTAGTGGTGAGTGTACTAGTGGTGAGTGTACTAGTGGTGAGTGTAGTGGTGAGTGTACTAGTGGTGAGTGTACTAGTGGTGAGTGTAGTGGTTAATGTACTAGTAGTGAGTGTACTAGTGGTGAGTGTAGAAGTGAGTGTACTAGTGATGAGTGTACTAGTGGTGAGTGTACTAGTGGTGAGTGTACTAGTGGTGAGTGTAGTGGTGGTGAGTGTACTAGTGGTGAGTGCACTAGTGGTGAGTGTACTAGTGGTGAGTGTACTAGTGGTGAGTGTAGTTGTGAGTGTAGTGGTGAGTGTAGTAGTGGTGAGTGTACTAGTGGTGAGTGTACTAGTGGTGAGTGTAGTGGTGGTGAGTGTACTGGTGGTGAGTGTACTAGTGGTGAGTGTACTAGTGGTGAGTGTAGTGGTGGTGACTACCTCGCCTGGTATGCAGGATGTCGTGGATTCGATCCCAACCCTGACACCTGTTGTATATTTGGAGTTTGCGTGTCTCTCTCTCATCATCATCACGGTGGCTAGGAGATGTTAACTACCTCGCCCGGTATACAGGAGGTCGCGGGTTCGATCCCGACCCTGACGATGCCTGCTGCTGTGTATTTGGAGTTTGCGTGTCTCTCTCTCATCATCATCATCACGATGGCTAGGAAATGTTAACTACCTCGCCTGGTGTGCAGGAGATCGCGGGTTCGATCCCGACCCTGATGATGCCTGCCGTATATAATGAGTTTGCGTCTCTCTCTCTCCCCCCCCCCGTGTCCTCCAGTTTTTACCCCCCAACATTTATAATCGCCGTGCGTTTAGAGTATTTGGTTGCTATAAAAGCCCGTGCGATAAGCCCCTTCGTTGAGCTATCATTTGTCGGCCAGGTCGCTTCCGAGTTTTATAGGCCGGTTTACCCTGGGATAATCCACTTCGGATCGGCATTCCAACGGACAACAAAATACCTGGAACAGACTGCGGCACTGAACAAAGGTGGGCAACAACAGGAACCATGTGATGGGAGTCGGTGCCAAGAGGGAGACACTCGCGAGACGTCGCGGCAAGGATATTTACAGCCCGGGGCTACCGACGACCGTGGCGCAGAACGACGGACATCCGGCGGCGAACTAGCGACAGGGTAGGGGGCGAAGGGAGGGCGCCCTTGGGCGACGCAGTCGGGAAGGAGAGGCGCGGTGACGGTGGGTCGTCGTGGGCGGAGCGCAGGAAGGTGAGAAGTTGGGACGGGTTAGGGCGAGATGAGAAGGCGGAGAGAGGTGGGGGGAGTGTGGTGGAGGGGAGTGGAGTGAGATGAGAGGGGAGAGGTAGGAGAGAGCGTGGAGGGGAGTGGAGTGAGATGAGAGGGGAGAGGCGGGAGAGTGAGTGGAGTGGAGTGAGATGAGAGGGGAGAGGTAGGAGAGAGCGTGGAGGGGAGTGAAGTGAGATGAGAGGCGGGAGAGAGCGTGGAGGGGAGTGGAGTGAGATGAGAGGGGAGAGGTAGGGGAGAGGTAGGGGAGTGAGTGGAGGGGAGTGGAGTGAGATGAGAGGTAGGAGAGTGAGTGGAGGGGAGTGGAGTGAGATGAGAGGGGAGAGGTAGGAGAGTGCGTGGGTGGGGAGTGGAATGAGATGAGAGGGGAGAGGTAGGAGAGTGAGTGGGTGGGGAGTGGAGTGAGATGAGAGGGGAGAGGCGGGAGAGAGCGTGGAGGTGAGTGGAGTGAGATGAGAAGGGAGAGGTAGGAGAGTGAGTGGGTGGGGAGTGGAGTGAGATGAGAGGGGGGAGGCAGCCAGGGGTGACTCCCAGGATCTGAGCGCGATCCCGAGATTGACCCGAGGCCGGACTGCACCGTGAGCCGGCAGTGGAGCGATGGCTGCACCGGGCTCGGGCGCCGTGACGGCGGTGTTCCACCGTGACGGCGGTGTTCCACCGTGACGGCGGTGTTCCACCGTGACGGCGGTGTCCCCGGCGAGGGAGGCGAGGGGTCCGGCAGCGGGATTTGGGAGCGTGCGGCGTCTGGAAGACGAGGGGACTTGTGGAGGCCGCAGCGAGGAGAGAGAGGAGAGAGAGAGGAGAGCGAGCGAGCCGGGATGTGGGCGAGCGGGCGGGCCAAGTGGGGGTATGGGCGGCTGCCGGCGGGCGGATTGGCGCTACGGCCGCCGCTGGCCGACTCGCTCGGCCCATCGATTTGGCCACCAAGGCGGTGGTGGGGGGCCCCCCCCTCCCCCCCTCACCCCCCTTACAATTTTACGAGCCCCCCCCAACCACCCGGACCGTGAGCGTCCCGCGCTGGCTCGGCTCGGATGTGGCAGTGGAAATGGGGTACGTGCGACACCCGTGTGACCCCGCGTGACCCCCGCGTGACCCCCGTGTAACCCCGCATGACCCCCGTGTGACCCCCGCGTGACCCCCGTGTGACCCAACCCCCCCCCCCCCACCCCGGTGTGGCTCAGACAGCCATGGGCCCGGTGAGGAGTTGTCCAGACTCTCCGTCCCCGCAGGCCGAGGGGCCGGTGGTGGGGACTCCGGCCACTGCCACCATCGCCACCGCCACCGTTCCCTCCATGGCCTCCGGGCAAAGCAGAGACCCTGAGAGACACAACAACAACAACAACATCGTCAACAGCAACAACAACAGGTGGCAGTAGCCACGAAGTGACGGTGACGTCACCGCAGTGCTCGTGCCAGGCTAGGTGCACTTTGAGGATATCACGTGACGTGCGGAATGCTCGCCGCTGGCAGGAGGTGACGGGACAGACTCAGGTGCCATGGGTTGCTGACTCAGATGACTGATAGATGCATCACCACCTGGTTAGGGCTATATGGGGGATCTTTGTGTGCGTCGGAAAAACGTGGAGCCCTCCAATGGAACATCTTCGCCGGTTCATTCAGGCTGGCCTGCCCCTGGGTTTAACCAGGCTGGATTGTGCGAGCTCACAAATGGCTTGAGAGATCTGGACATATTCCAATCAGTGAGCTCCTCCGGCAGGCGAGGCTGCGTTGGCTGGGTCATGTAGCCCGCATGCCCAGCCAATGCATGGCCAAGCAGTTTCTGTTTGGCCGAACAGACGAGGCTAAACGGGCACGGCACGGGCTGGAGACGAGATGGAGTGACGTGGTACAGGAGGATATGGAGCTAAGTGGACTTGCCAATGACTGGTACCAGCGGTGTCATGATCACCCTCTGTGGAGAAGGAGGCTTGTGAAGGACGCTGCTGGGCGGTGGGGAGGCAGTCGCCCTCCAACAACAACGGAGGGCAGAGAGGAGCGACGCTCACAACAACGAGCGGAGAACCGGGCTGCTAAAATGCAGCAACTTGGCAAAGTATGGGGTACAGAGTTGGTGCATCTGCCAGTCATCTCAGTCAGCCAACCCATGGCACCTGGGTCTGTCCCGTGACCTCCTGTCGGCGAGCCTTCGACACTTCACGTGGCCTCATGGCGCACCTGGCCTGGCACAGTGGCGAATGGCGGTTGTGTTGGTGTTGGAGAAACACACACGGCCGGTGCTGCTCTACGGGGACCACAGGTGGTGCATTTGCCACCCCGACTGAACATCTGTGAAAAAGAGCTTTCGTGCTCATGGAATTCCTCCAGTCCAAATGCAGATTTCTGCTTCAAGTGAACCCATGGCACCCGCTGGGTGTAGCGTCCCGTGACCTCCTTCCCGCCTGGTATGCAGGAGGTCGCGGGTTCCATCCCGGCCCTGACGCCTGCTGTATATGCGGAGTTTGCGCGTCTCTCTCTCCCCGCGGCCGCGTTGGATTTTTCTCCGGGTCCTCCGGTTTTTCCCCCTCCGCACTTAGAATCAAGGTCACGCATATTTGGCCGCGGCTATACATTCCCACGTGATGACGATAAGAAGCCAACTTCGTTGAGCGATCGTGTGTTGTGATAAGCCAGGGGCGGTCGCTTCTGAAAAAGAAAAAGCTACGTAGCTCAGTGGGGGCCTAACACCTTGTAAAGTAAATAAGAAGTATATATATAAAAAAAACGTTTTTTTTTAAACACGCTTTCATGAAATGTACTAGTAGTAGCAGAACTCCACGAATCCAGGAAGTGGCCCCGAAGCTTGCCATAACGTAAGGGACCGTGGCCAATTACAGCCAACGTCAGTTGACAGTGGACAATTAGAGGCAAGCCGAAACATAACATATAAAAAAGAATGTTTAAAAATGTACATATATTTTTTTATGATAGTATATAGTATTGTCATCAGTATGCCATAAGTATACCAAGTTTGCAGTCGATACCACATTGGGAAGTGGGTTACAATTGAGTTACAAGATTTGAGGATACAACAACAACGACAACAGCAGACAGAGCGAGTTAAAATGAAAGCGTGTAACAAAAAAAAGTTTCATCCTTTTAAAGTGCACGGCACCAGCGCTGTTGTGACATCACCGCCACTTAGTGGTGAACGGCGGTTGTTGTTGTTGTTGTTGCTGCTGTTGTTGTTGTGGTGTGTCGGAGCGTGTGGCAACTGCCCCACACACACACACACGCACCTGGCAGGCAAGCGACGTTGTCCACCAGCTCCGCCCGTAGTGCGGGCGACTCGTTGTCCACCTCGTACAGCGCAGCGCTTCCGCCTCCCGCCTCCAGCAGCACTGATTATAAAAGACAAAGGTCCCCCGGGTAGCCTTCTAACAGACCGTTGGGGCAAGTGCTGTTCGCGAGCATCGCCCATGAAGGCCGGCACGGCACACGAGGGTGGCCAGCACCACGCCCGGCCGCCTTTGTCTCCCCTGCGCTGATGCTTTACACACCGCACCAGGGACTACTTCGAGGCTGCCGCAACCTAAGGGAGGCCCCCGGGGCCCGGTCCAAATATTCTCCACTGTTATTGACCGTGAGCGGGGATTGAACTCGGGTCTCCCAAGGTTCGTAGCACTAGGCGTCGCAAGGTAAGGTAATTTACCCTATTTACCGGGTAAAAGGGTAAAGTTGTCGACATGCCAAGGGGTAAGGTAAAGGGTAGGGTAAAGGTAGCGCGAAGTGTTATCCGGTAAACGCCCCGTTTACCGTAAACGCCCCGTTTACCGTTAACGCCCCGTTTACCGTAAACGCCCCGTTTACCGTAAATGCCCCGTTTACCGTAAACGCCCCGTTTACCGTAAACGCCCCGTTTACCGTAAACGCCCCGTTTACCGTAAACGCCCCGTTTACCGTAAACGCCCCGTTTACCGTAAACGCCCCGTTTACCGTAAACGCCCCGTTTACCGTAAACGCCGTTTACCGTAAACGCCCCGTTTACCGTAAACGCCCCGTTTACCGTAAACGCCCCGTTTACCGTAAATGCCCCGTTTACCGTAAACGCCCCGTTTACCGTAAACGCCCCGTTTACCGTAAACGCCCCGTTTACCGTAAACGCCCCGCTTACCGTAAACGCCCCGTTTACCGTAAACGCCCCGTTTACCGTAAACGCCTTGTTTACCGCTCGCTAAAAGCTCCGTGGCGCAGTTCGCGGCCTCCATTTAAAATTATAATAATCGAGATTGTTTTATACAAATAAAGCGCTCCACCTAGCATTTACCTGTTATAGACCTTGTTCATGTGTAGTGGTACCCCAGTAATTACCTTGTAATCGGCTAATTTGTATGGGGTAAGGGTAAAAGGTAGGGTAAACGTAGGCTCGTTGCTTTTGACCTTTTACCTTACCTTGCCGAGGCCTACGTAGCGCCGTGCTCTAACCACTACGCTACCGCTCCTCACGAAAATGCCAAGCACACGCGCAACCACAAGCATGCACGCAGCACACACGCCCAGGTCACTCTTGCGAATGAGACTCATCCTGGGTCTCTTCAGTTCTCACCCCGGTTCACCAAAATGAACTTGACAACCCCTGAAGCGCGAGAGATAGGTCACTACCCGCAACAGCAAACGCCAACTCGACAATTTCAACCGAGAAGATGGATTCTATCTTAGCAATCATTGGAAAGATTTGATTAACCATTTCGGGTCTTAATTGATTGTTCACTCTTACAGTGGCTTTCAGACAGCATACATTATAAAAAAAATTCGTCTCCCCCCTCCTCTTTTCAGAATATAGATGGACTAGTCCTAAATAAACTGCCAAATCGCTGCGCGTGGCGCTAACGTTTTTTTATAAATAAATAAATGCACCGTTTAAAAATAAATTTATGCAAACCAACACACCTGAAGACGACCGTTTGTGTTATGGTCGAAATGTCGTGGGAATTTTTATTGTTTTTTATATATATTTTATTGTTTTGTTGTTTCCCTTCAACGTGACTTTACCGAAAGAACTAAGAATATGGATACCAACACGTTGCGCGTAGATTCTAAATTGAAAACCCATTTGCTTGGAACTGCTTTGTGCGTGTGTTAGCTTGTTGTCCTTCCCCCGCACCTCCGATTAGCACGGTTGGCTACGTGCGGTACGTTAAGAAGTTCAACGTACGTACATGTATTATGTATGTGGTGTAGCGGTTAGCGCTACGTTGCGCTACGAGAACCTGGCGACTCGGGTTCGAGTCCCGCTCACGGCCAACACCGGTGGTGACGATTATCTGAACCGGTCCTGGGCCTCCCCTAGGTCGACTCAGCCTCAAAATGAGTACCTGGCGCGATGTGTAAGCATCGCCACTGGGGGAAAACAAAGGCGGGCGGAGGCGTGGTGTTGGCCACCCAACCCCTTCGTGATGCCGTGCCGGCCTTCACCGGTGCTGCTCGCTTAACAGCACTTGCCCCTGCAGTCTTCCATGACTATACGGGGGATCTTTGTCTTTGTGGGGGAAGGGCAACAAACTAAACACAAAAAACTATTTAGAAAAAAAAATTAGTTTTGATGATGATTTAAAAGCGCATGGCTCCCACTGGCTCACTAATATCGGAAGCAAGAGCGTTCCAGACGGCCGCAGAAGCGCAATTTGAAAGCGCCGCGGCGATGCGGCGTCCGCCCTCGTTGTTCGATGGGCGGCCGAAAAGCCGCTGGTGGGGATGGCCGGAGTTTGCGTGACGATGGGTTTTAGGCTCCTTGACGAGATTCAGCCGAGGTTTCATTTGTGGCGAGCACCTCAGCGGGTAAGCCGACAGCGGTTGACCTACGGATAGACTCGTCCTCCCCTCCCCTCGCCGTAAGAACGTGGAATTGCAACCAGTCGGCGCTGCGGGGGGGCCGCGGAAACGCGGAGATGCCCATCTGGAAGGTCACCCGTGCGATGCGGTGCCAGGGGCCCCGCGGAGACAACCACACGCACACACGGGATCCAGGAAATCGCCGCCACTCACCCTCTCCGCTCGAGTCCACTTCCACAACGTTCCCCTGCGGAGTTGGGGGGGGGGGGCGGGGGGGGAGGGAGGCATGCGAAACGTCAGGGCGACACGGAACCCGGGGTCATGGGACGACGGGGGGGGGGGGGGGGGGGGCGGTGGTGGCACCGCGATGGGCTCGGAAAATGGCAACAATTCCGCGGTTTACGATCCGACGGGAAAACACCGTGACGTGACGGTTACTTACATTCATCGTTAGTCCTCCTTTGCCAGTGCCAACATATAATAATAATAGGGTTTTTCCCCTTATTTCTGGCAACAAAATTTAAACCTTTTTAACGAGGAATCATGTTTACTGCATCAACCACAATAACTGTGGTCAAAATGCAAAACAAAAAAGACGCTATGATAATGATGCATTAGTAATAGGCTTTACCCTTTTAACTGGCACAAAAACTGACACCTTTATTCAAGGCATCATGTCTGCAATAACCACAACCCAAGCAGTCAAAATGCAAACAAAAAAGACAACTCTGATAATAATATTGGCACTGTCCTTGAATTTGATTGGTCCACACCCGAGACAGCTTTTCTTAGAGCCTAGTCTCCACTGGTGTTGGACCAGAAGACGTCAAAAGGCGTATAACTCAAACACAGCGCACTATCAGAGTATTGAGGGCTCGGGGTGAGCATTTACATTATGAGACCTCCTTTGCCAGTAACAAGATATAGGAATAGGTTTTACCCTTTAAACAGTGCATATTATTATCAGAGTTGTCTTTTTTCTTTGCATTTTGACTGCTTGTGTTGTGGTTATTGCAAACATGATGCCTTGAATAAAGGTGTCAGTTTTTGTGCCAGTTAAAAGGGTAAAGCCTATTACTATATCATGTTACTGGCAAAGGAGGTCTCATAATGTAAATATGACGCACTGTCAACCCGCGTCGCCGTCAATTGCCGATTGCCGATTCGCGAGCGTTGCGAACGTCGCGTGGGATGGGTGGCAGTGCGGTTGGGCTGGGGGAGGGGGGTGGTGGTGGTGTGGGGGGCGGTGAATTCACCTCCAGGTCGCGCGTGCCCAGCGAGCCCGGCAGGAAGGAGCCGACGCCGAGCCCCTCCGCCGTCTGCAACGAGGCGCATCGCTCACACTGTAGCTCACCAACACCGTCACTCGCCCGCTCCGTAACCCACACGCAGGTACAGTCACCCTCCTGCACTGTAACCCGCACGCTGGTACAGTCACCCACCTGCACTGTAACCCACACACTGGTACAGTGACCCTCCTGCACTGTAACCCACACGCTGGTACAGTGACCCTCCTGCACTGTAACCCACACGCTGGTACAGTGACCCTCCTGCACTGTAACCCACACACTGGCACAGTGACCCTCCTGCACTGTAACCCACACACTGGTACAGTGACCCTCCTGCACTGTAACCCACACGCTGGTACAGTGACCCTCCTGCACTGTAACCCACACACTGGCACAGTGACCCTCCTGCACTGTAACCCACACACTGGTACAGTGACCCTCCTGCACTGTAACCCACACACTGGTACAGTGACCCTCCTGCACTGTAACCCACACACTGGTACAGTGACCCTCCTGCACTGTAACCCACACACTGGTACAGCGACCCTCCTGCACTGTAACCCACACACTGGTACAGTGACCCTCCCGCACTGTAACCCACACACTGGTACAGTGACCCTCCTGCACTGTAACCCACACACTGGTACAGTGACCCTCCTGCACTGTAACCCACACGCTGGTACAGTGACCCTCCTGCACTGTAACCCACACACTGGTACAGTGACCCTCCCGCACTGTAACCCACACACTGGTACAGTGACCCTCCTGCACTGTAACCCACACACTGGTACAGTGACCCTCCTGCACTGTAACCCACACACTGGTACAGTGACCCTCCTGCACTGTAACCCACACGCTGGTACAGTGACCCTCCTGCACTGTAACCCACACGCTGGTACAGTGACCCTCCTGCACTGTAACACACACTGGTACAGTGACCCTCCTGCACTGTAACCCGCACGCTGGTACAGTCACCCTCCTGCACTGTAACCCACACACTGGTACAGTGACCCTCCTGCACTGTAACCCACACACTGGTACAGTGACCCTCCTGCACTGTAACCCACACACTGGTACAGTGACCCTCGTGCACTGTAACCCACACACTGGTACAGTGACCCTCCTGCACTGTAACCCACACGCTTGTACAGTGACCCTCCTGCACTGTAACCCGCACGCTGGTACAGTGACCCTCCTGCACTGTAACCCGCACGCTGGTACAGTGACCCTCCTGCACTGTAACCCGCACACTGGTACAGTGACCCTCCTGCACTGTAACCCAAACACTGGTACAGTGACCCTCCTGCACTGTAACCCACACGCTTGTACAGTGACCCTCCTGCACTGTAACCCGCACGCTGGTACAGTGACCCTCCTGCACTGTAACCCGCAAGCTGGTACAGTGACCCTCCTGCACTGTAACCCACACGCTGGTACAGTGACCCTCCTGCACTGTAACCCACACACTGGTACAGTGACCTTCCTGCACTGTAACCCGCACGCTGGTACAGTGACCCTCCTGCACTGTAACCCACACGCTGGTACAGTGACCCTCCTGCACTGTAACCCACACACTGGTACAGTCACCCTCCCGCACTGTAACCCACACACTGGTACAGTCACCCTCCTGCACTGTAACCCACGCTGGTACAGTCACCCTCCCGCACTGTAACCCACACACTGGTACAGTCACCCTCCTGCACTGTAACCCGCACGCTGGTACAGTCACCCTCCTGCACTGTAACCCACACGCTGGTACAGTGACCCTCCTGCACTGTAACCCGCACGCTGGTACAGTGACCCTCCTGCACTGTAACCCACACACTGGTACAGTCACCCTCCTGCACTGTAACCCGCACGCTGGTACAGTGACCCTCCTGCACTGTAACCCACACACTGGTACAGTGACCCTCCTGCACTGTAACCCACACACTGGTACAGTGACCCTCCTGCACTGTAACCCACACACTGGCACAGTGACCCTCCTGCACTGTAACCCACACGCTGGTACAGTGACCCTCCTGCACTGTAACCACAACGCTGGTACAGTGACCCTCCTGCACTGTAACCACAACGCTGGTACAGTGACCCTCCTGCACTGTAACCCACACACTGGTACAGTCACCCTCCTGCACTGTAACCCACACACTGGTACAGTGACCCTCCTGCACTGTAACCCACACACTGGTACAGTGACCCTCCTGCACTGTAACCCACACGCTTGTACAGTGACCCTCCTGCACTGTAACCCACACACTGGTACAGTGACCCTCCTGCACTGTAACCCACACGCTTGTACAGTGACTCTCCTGCACTGTAACCCGCACGCTGGTACAGTGACCCTCCTGCACTGTAACCCACACGCTTGTACAGTGACCCTCCTGCACTGTAACCCACACACTGGTACAGTGACCCTCCTGCACTGTAACCCACACGCTGGTACAGTGACCCTCCTGCACTGTAACCCACACACTGGTACAGTGACCCTCCTGCACTGTAACCCACACACTGGCACAGTGACCCTCCTGCACTGTAACCCGCACGCTGGCACAGTCACCCTCCCGCACTGTAACCCACACACTGGTACAGTGACCCTCCTGCACTGTAACCCACACGCTGGTACAGTGACCCTCCTGCACTGTAACCCGCACGCTGGTACAGTGACCCTCCTGCACTGTAACCCACACACTGGTACAGTCACCCTCCTGCACTGTAACCCGCACGCTGGTACAGTGACCCTCCCGCTCTGTAACCCGCACGCTGGCACAGTGACCCTCCTCCTGCACTGTAACCCGCACACTGGCACAGTGACCCTCCTGCACTGTAACCCGCACGCTGGTACAGTGACCCTCCCGCTCTGTAACCCACACACTGGCACAGTGACCCTCCTGCACTGTAACCCACACACTGGTACAGTGACCCTCCTGCACTGTAACACACACACACTGGTACAGTGACCCTCCCGCACTGTAACCCACACACTGGCACAGTGACCCTCCCGCTCTGTAACCCGCACGCTGGCACAGTGACCCTCCTCCTGCACTGTAACCCGCACACTGGCACAGTGACCCTCCTGCACTGTAACCCGCACGCTGGTACAGTGACCCTCCCGCTCTGTAACCCACACACTGGCACAGTGACCCTCCTGCACTGTAACCCACACACTGGTACAGTGACCCTCCTGCACTGTAACACACACACACTGGTACAGTGACCCTCCCGCACTGTAACCCACACACTGGCACAGTGACCCTCCCGCTCTGTAACCCGCACGCTGGCACAGTGACCCTCCTCCTGCACTGTAACCCGCACACTGGCACAGTGACCCTCCCGCTCTGTAACCCGCACACTGGCACAGTGACCCTCCCGCTCTGTAACCCGCACGCTGGCACAGTGACCCTCCTCCTGCACTGTAACCCGCACACTGGCACAGTGACCCTCCCGCTCTGTAACCCGCACACTGGCACAGTGACCCTCCCGCTCTGTAACCCGCACGCTGGCACCCGCATCTCACCGGCTCGCCGCCCGTGGGGCTCTCCCCGTTGACGTCGCCCGCTCCGTCGGCCTCGTGCGAGGCGCCGCTGGTTGAGGACGCGACGGACATTGAGGAGCGGGCGCCGCTGGAGCCTCCGCCAGCGCCGCCGCCGCCGGCGCCGCTGCTGCTGCTGCTCATCGGCTCCACTGGGCAGCCGATGGGAAGCAAAACAACAGCGTCAACGGGTTCCCTTGACGCCGTCCGGGCCAGAGGGGGTCGCAGCGGTGGGGGGGTGGGGGGCAGGGGTGGTGGGTGGGTCGGGTGGGGTTGGGGGGGGGGGGCGCTGTTCGAGTTACCCTCGGGGGACGAGACGGTGGAGGAGGCAGACGACGAGGTGGCGGAGTAGGCCGAGTTTTCCACGCCGCACGGCATGGGCAGCGCCAGCAGTTCTCCGGCCACCGACAACACGGAGATCTGCAGCGGGCACGGCGGCGGCGGAGGCGGCGGCGGGGTGAGGGCGGGCGAGCCAAGCCGCCCTCGAGCAAACTTAACGCCCGCGCAGATGACGATGATCACAACGACGACGACGATGAACGCGATTTGTAACGAGCGCGCATTACTGCGCTGATCGGGACGCGAGGTTCGATCGACGAGACTCGCGAGGGCGTGGAGACTGAGCTCCAAGTCCCTCGCATGTGAATCTGAACCAGGTGAGAGACTGAACCAGGTGAGAGGCTGAACCAGGTGAGAGACTGAACCAGGTGAGAGGCTGAACCAGGTGAGAGGCTGAACCAGGTGAGAGACTGAACCAGGTGAGATTCTGAACCAGGTGAGAGGCTGGACCAGGTGAGAGACTGAACCAGGTGAGATTCTGAACCAGGTGAGATTCTGAACCAGGTGAGAGTCTGGACCAGGTGAGAGCCTGAACCAAGGTGAAAGTCTGAACCAGGTGAGAGTCTGAACCAGGTGAGAGACTGAACCAGGTGAGAGTCTGAACCAGGTGAGAGTCTGAACCAGGTGAGAGGCTGAACCAGGTAAGAGACTGAACCAGGTGAGAGTCTGAACCAGGTGAGAGTCTGAACCAGGTGTGAGTCTGAACCAGGTGAGGGTCTGAACCAGGTGAGAGTCTGAACCAGGTGAGAGACTGAACCAGGTGAGAGGCTGAACCAGGTGAGGCCCTGAACCAGGTGAGAGACTGAACCAGGTGAGGGTCTGAACCAGATGAGAGACTGAACCAGGTGAGAGACTGAACCAGGTGAGATTCTGAACCAGGTGAGAGGCTGGACCAGGTGAGAGACTGAACCAGGTGAGATTCTGAACCAGGTGAGAGTCTGGACCAGGTGAGAGCCTGAACCAAGGTGAAAGTCTGAACCAGGTGAGAGTCTGAACCAGGTGAGAGACTGAACCAGGTGAGAGTCTGAACCAGGTGAGAGTCTGAACCAGGTGAGAGGCTGAACCAGGTAAGAGACTGAACCAGGTGAGAGTCTGAACCAGGTGAGAGTCTGAACCAGGTGTGAGTCTGAACCAGGTGAGGGTCTGAACCAGGTGAGAGTCTGAACCAGGTGAGAGACTGAACCAGGTGAGAGGCTGAACCAGGTGAGAGGCTGGACCAGGTGAGAGACTGAACCAGGTGAGAGACTGAACCAGGTGAGGCCCTGAACCAGGTGAGAGCCTGAACCAGGTGAGAGACTGAACCAGGTGAGAGCCTGAACCAGGTGAGAGACTGAACCAGGTGAGAGACTGAACCAGGTGAGACCCTGAACCAGTTGAGAGTCTGAACCAGGTAAGGGCCTGAACCAGGTGAGAGACTGAACCAGGTGAGAGACTGAACCAGGTGAGAGACTGAACCAGGTGAGATTCTGAACCAGGTAAGGGCCTGAACCAGGTGAGAGTCTGAACCAGGTGAGAGGCTGAACCAGGTGAGGGGCTGAACCAGGTGAGAGGCTGAACCAGGTGAGAGTCTGAACCAGGTGAGGGACTGAACCAGGTGAGAGTCTGAACCAGGTGAGAGGCTGAACCAGGTGAGAGTCTGAACCAGGTGAGAGGCTGAACCAGGTGAGAGTCTGGGCCAGGTGAGAGTCTGAACCAGGTGAGAGACTGAACCAGGTGAGAGGCTGAACCAGGTGAGAGACTGAACCAGGTGAGAGACTGAACCAGGTGAGAGTCTGAACCAGGTAAGAGTCTGAACCAGGTGAGAGACTGAACCAGGTGAGAGACTGAACCAGGTGAGAGTCTGGGCCAGGTGAGAGTCTGAACCAGGTGAGAGTCTGAACCAGGTAAGGGCCTGAACCAGGTGAGTCCCTGAACCAGGTGAGAGACTGAACCAGGTGAGAGACTGAACCAGGTGAGAGACTGAACCAGGTGAGAGTCTGAACCAGGTGAGAGTCTGAACCAGGTGAGAGTCTGAACCAGGCGTGAGTCTGAACCAGGTGAGGGTCTGAACCAGGTGAAAGTCTGAACCAGGTGAGAGACTGAACCAGGTGAGAGGCTGAACCAGGTGAGAGGCTGGACCAGGTGAGAGACTGAACCAGGTGAGAGACTGAACCAGGTGAGGCCCTGAACCAGGTGAGAGCCTGAACCAGGTGAGAAACTGAACCAGGTGAGAGACTGAACCAGGTGAGAGCCTGAACCAGGTGAGAGACTGAACCAGGTGAGGACTGAACCAGGTGAGACCCTGAACCAGTTGAGAGTCTGAACCAGGTAAGGGCCTGAACCAGGTGAGAGACTGAACCAGGTGAGAGACTGAACCAGGTGAGATTCTGAACCAGGTAAGGGCCTGAACCAGGTGAGAGTCTGAACCAGGTGAGAGGCTGAACCAGGTGAGGGGCTGAACCAGGTGAGAGGCTGAACCAGGTGAGAGTCTGAACCAGGTGAGGGACTGAACCAGGTGAGAGTCTGAACCAGGTGAGAGGCTGAACCAGGTGAGAGTCTGAACCAGGTGAGAGGCTGAACCAGGTGAGAGTCTGGGCCAGGTGAGAGTCTGAACCAGGTGAGAGACTGAACCAGGTGAGAGGCTGAACCAGGTGAGAGACTGAACCAGGTGAGAGACTGAACCAGGTGAGAGTCTGAACCAGGTAAGAGTCTGAACCAGGTGAGAGTCTGAACCAGGTGAGAGACTGAACCAGGTGAGAGAATGAACCAGGTGAGACCCTGAACCAGGTGAGAGTCTGAACCAGGTGAGAGTCTGAACCAGGTAAGGGCCTGAACCAGGTGAGACCCTGAACCAGGTGAGAGGCTGAACCAGGTGAGAGACTGAACCAGGTGAGAGTCTGAATCAGGTGAGAGTCTGAACCAGGTGAGAGGCTGAACCAGGTAAGAGTCTGAACCAGGTGAGGGTCTGAACCAGGTGATAGACTGAACCAGGTGAGAGGCTGAACCAGGTGAGAGGCTGAACCAGGTGAGAGACTGAACCAGGTGAGGCCCTGAACCAGGTGAGAGCCTGAACCAGGTGAGAAACTGAACCAGGTGAGAGACTGAACCAGGTGAGAGCCTGAACCAGGTGAGAGACTGAACCAGGTGAGAGACTGAACCAGGTGAGACCCTGAACCAGTTGAGAGTCTGAACCAGGTAAGGGCCTGAACCAGGTGAGAGACTGAACCAGGTGAGAGACTGAACCAGGTGAGATTCTGAACCAGGTAAGGGCCTGAACCAGGTGAGAGTCTGAACCAGGTGAGCGACTGAACCAGGTGAGAGACTGAACCAGGTGAGATTCTGAACCAGGTAAGGGCCTGAACCAGGTGAGAGTCTGAACCAGGTGAGAGTCTGAACCAGGTGAGTAGGCTGAACCAGGTGAGAGTCTGGACCAGGTGAGAGACTGAACCAGGTGAGACCCTGAGCCAGGTGAGATCCGAGCATCTTTTATCCGTGGCCATCTAGAACGTGGCCACCATTTTCGTCACTATTATCATCATTGTCATCATCGTCACCATCATCATCACTATCATCATTATTGTCGTCACCATTATCATCATCGTCATCATCGTCATCATTATTGTTGTCACCATTATCATCGTCATCACCATCATCGTCATCACCATCATCATCATCGTCGTCGTCACCATCATCGTCGTCACCATCATCGTCATCACCATCATCATCATCATCGTCGTCGTCACCATCATCGTCGTCACCATCATCGTCATCACCATCATCATCATCGTCGTCGTCACCATCATCGTCGTCACCATCATCGTCATCACCATCATCGTCATCACCATCATCGTCATCACCATCATCGTCATCACCATCATCGTCATCACCATCATCATCGTCGTCTCCATCATCGTCATCACCATCACCGTCATCGTCGTCATCATCGTCACCATCATCGTCGCTGTCGCCCCACTTTTGCTGCACATTTGCCCATTTGCAGGAGCAGCATCGGCGTTCAACCCACACCGACTCTTAAGAGAGACATTCGAAGGTCCCCACCTCTTTGTTAAATCCCCCACCTCTTCCTTAAGGCCCCACCTCTTCCTAAAAGCCCCCACAACACTTCTTTCTCCCGGCTTTCGCTCGGCAACGCTGAGCCTCGGCTCGGCGCCCCTGGTGATGATTTTTATTTACGTCCGCTAACGACTGCACGCCGTTGCTACGACGCCAGAGAGGCGCCTTTTTTAGACTACTTTCAGGCCCAAACATCGGTAACGTACACACACACACACAATGTACATACATTACGCACGAGTCATTAACTGTGAATAACCCAACTAATAACAGATACCCATTGTAGTTTGTATGGCTACGTTAAACCCCCATCCCCATCTCACAGTCGCTGGTGTTCGCACCGGACCGACTGACAAGCGACGACATCACATCTACCCTTAGCGCTCTTTAAGACCGAAACAGCAGGAGGATTTTTCTCTACGACTCTGTGGCTGTCGTCCATGCTGCTGCTGCTGCTGGTTGTTGTTGTTGTTTTTACCGGCAAAACGTCACGGCACTCGAATTGTAAATGTTGTAGTGGGTTTACTACACTATACACTACACTGTACACTACATTATACACTGCACTATACACTACACTATACACTACACTATACACTGCATTATACACTGCACTATACACTGTACTATACACTACACTATACACTACATTATACACTGCACTATACACTGCACTATACACTACACTACTATACACTACACTATACACTACACTATACACTACATTATACACTGCACTATTCACTGTACTATACACTATACTATACACTACACTACTATACACTACACTATACACTACTATACACTACACTATACACTACACTACTATACACTACACACTACACTATCATTGCAAATGTTGTAGTGGGGCTTTACTCTCCAACACACAACCGCCTAGTGCTTAACTAGTAAGGACTTGGCACGTTTTGTCTACGTGACAAACGTTACTAAATCGGCTGCGGCGGGTTTAGCGAAACATTCATGTTTACGTAATCTTTGGTTCTTTCGGTAAAGTCACGTAGGTAGAAAAAATAATAGATCACGCCGTTTTTTTTGTTGTTGCCGTGGTTGTCCCCCACCTGATGACGATTGCTTGCGTTGCGATCTGTTATTTTTACATTTTATTTTTCTACCCACTACGTGACTTCACCGACAGAGCCAAAGAGCGTGGATTCCTGCAGTGACGGAAGCTTCAAAACATGAATATTTACGCGACCTAAACCCAGAAATCTCCAATTACAGATGAATATTTTCACGGCTGCCACGGCCGCTGCCACTGCTGCCGATGATGAAGACGGCTATGACGATGAGGATGACTCGGTAGCGCTCTCGCCTGCGGGTGGGAGTCATCGTCGGAGGAGGCGCTGGGTTTCTTGCCGCGGGAGCGGCTGCCCATGCGGTTCAGAACGGCGCCGTCCAGCACCGAGGAGGTATGGGACCTGTGAACGAACATCGTCGTCAACATCATCATCATCAATATCGTCGTCATCATCAACATCTACGTCGGCGTCGTCGTCATCAACATCATCGTCAACATCAACATCGTCATCATCATCATCATCGTCGTCGTCGGCATCATCGTCGGGATCATCGTCATCAACATCATCCTCAACATCAACATCGTTGACGTCATCATCTACATCATCATTGTCGTCATTATCATCAACATCATCGTCAACATCGTCGTCATCATCATCATACAGATTTGTAAACCCTACATGTGAGTGGTATGCCTCTGCCACTGTTGATGTTTACACACGGCACCAGATCCTCGACGAAGGCCGAGTCGACCTTAGGGGGAGGCCCGGGAGCGGTTCGGACAGTCGCCACTGTCTGTTGGTCTCGGAACGGCAATCCAAACTCGGGTCGCCGTAGCGCAGCGCAGCGCTAACCACTGCGCCGCCGCTCCCCACACAGACAAACATCAACCTTGGCTCGCTCACAGCAAGTGCTGCTATAGCGAGCGCCTACGAAGGCAGGCACGGCGCACGAACGGCGCGGGTGGCCAACACCACGCCCGGGGGCCACCCGTGTCTCCCTACAGTGGCGATGTTTAACACGCCGCGGCCGGGCACTCATTCGAGGCCGAGTCGACCTAGGGGAGGGCCCCGTGCGCCGTCTCGCTCGCTCACTTTCCGCCGTTCGTCTTCACGTCGGGCTCCACGGTGAAGTCATCGGCGCCCAGTGGCGGTCCGGCCGTCGCCGTCGTCGCCGTCGTCGCCGTCGTCATGGCGACCGAGCGCAGCGCCGTGGCGACGGCGTGCGGGTGGGGGCCGTCGCCGCGGTGACAGGGGAGGGGCGGCTGCCGGGCCGGGGGCGGCTCCTCGCCCTGCGCAAGCGGCGGGGCGCTCGCGACGAACGGGGGCAGCCCGTTCAGGGCCTCCAGCAGCGAGACCGCCTCGTAGCCCGGGGGCAGCGGCTCCGACGACTTGGGAGGGGGGGGGGGGGCAGGGGGGAAGGTGGGTGGCGGGGGGCAGGAAGTCATCATCATCGTCGTCGTCAGAAGCAGCAGCAGCAGCAGCATCATCGCGATCATCTATGTATGTACAGTATGCTAACTTTCGCGCTGTACGTAGCAACCGTGCCAATCACAGCTGCGGGGGAAGGACAACAAGCTGTGGGTCTCTGTGTGAGTCTATGGGTCTCTGTGTGAGTCTATGCATCTCTGTGTGAGTCTATGGGTCCTAATGTGAATCAATGTGCCTCTGTGTGAGTCTATGGGTCTCTGTGTGAGTCTGTGGGTCTCTGTGCGAGTCTATGGGTCTCTGTGTGAGTCAATGGGTCTCTGTGTGAGTCAGTGGGTCTCTGTGTGAGTCTGTGGGTCTCTGTGCGAGTCTGTGGGTCTCTGTGCGAGTCTATGGGTCTCTGTGTGAGTCTACGGGTCTCTGTGTGAGTCCATGGGTCTCTGTGTGAGTCTATTGGTCTCTGTGTGAGTCTATTGGTCTCTGTGTGAGTCTATTGGTCTCTGTAGTGAGTATATGGGTCTCTGTGTGAGTCTATGAGTCTCTGTGTGAGTCTATGGGTCTCTGTGTGAGTCTATAGGTCTCTGTAGTGAGTCTATGGGTCTCTGTGTGTGTCTATGTGTCTCTGTGTGAGTCTATATGTCTCTGTGTGATTCTATGGGTCTCTGTGTGAGTCTATAGGTCTCTGTGTGAGTCTACGGGTCTCTGTGTGAGTCTGTGGGTCTTTGTGTGAGTCTATGTGTCTCTGTGCGAGTCTATGGGTCTCTGTGTGAGTCTGTGGGTCTCTGTGTGAGTCTGTGGGTCTCTGTAGTGAGTCTATGGGTCTCTGTGTGAGTCTATGGGTCTCTGTAGTGAGTCTATGGGTCTCTGTGTGTCTATGTGTCTCTGTGTGAGTCTATATGTCTCTGTGTGAGTCTATATGTCTCTGTGTGAGTCTATGGGTCTCTGTGTGAGTATATAGGTCTCTGTGTGAGTCTATGGGTCTCCGTGTGAGTCTACGGGTCTCTGTGTGAGTCTATGGGTCTCTGTGTGAGTCTATGGGTCTCTGTGTGAGTCTACGGGTCTCTGTGTGAGTCTGTGGGTCTTTGTGTGAGTCTATGTGTCTCTGTGCGAGTCTATGGGTCTCTGTGTGAGTCTGTGGGTCTCTGTGTGAGTCTGTGGGTCTCTGTAGTGAGTCTATGGGTCTCTGTGTGAGTCTATTGGTCGCTGTAGTGAGTCTATGGGTCTCTGTAGTGAGTCTATGGGTCTCTGTGTGAGTCTATGGGTCTCTGTGTGAGTCTACTGGTCTCTGTAGTGAGTCTACGGGTCTCTGTGTGAGGCTATTGGTCTCTGTGTGAGTCTATGGGTCTCTGTGTGAGTCTACGGGTCTCTGTGTGAGTCTATGGGTCACTGTGTGAGTCTATGGGTCTCTGTGTGAGTCTATGCGTTTCTGTGCGAGTATATGGGCCTCTGTGTGAGTCAATGTACTGCAAGTGAAAGTCATCCTATACAATAACCCTCATCCTCCTCCTCTCTCTCGTCTCCCTCACACCCGCCATGATTAAATGCAATGCATAAATTTGATTACTTTATATTAAATTTAAAGAATAAAAATATTAAAAGGTGTTTTGTATTAATAATTTTTATATGAGTACAGTATTTTTGGGTTCTGGAACGAATCATCTGAGTTTCCATTATTTCTTATGGGGAAATTTTCTTCGCTATACGAGTGTTTTTGGATTACGAGCACGTTTCCGGAACGAATTATATTTATTTACCCCGAAGATCCTTGGATGAATTGTGCCTTATGAACGTCAATTATTATTACCTTCCCTATACTGTGTACTCCTTTAGTTTTGGTTTTTGTTTGCCGCTTTAACTTTCTGACCCAGTGCCCCGACTGGACATCTGCGTGAAAGAGCTTCTTAAATATTGATTTAAAGCTTTCGTGACTGCAAGGATCCATACTCTTTGGTTCTTTCGGTAAAGTCACGAAGGTAGAAAAATAAAATACAATAAAACAAATCACGACATTTCGTGTCGCAGCACAAGCGAACTTCTTCAGGTGGGACAACCACAGCAAGAAAAATGGTGAAGTCGGCGGGAGAGCTGCCGTGGCATGAGGTTATATAGGTAATAGAAGGGGGAGGAGGCAAGGGGGAGAGAGAGAGAGGGGAGTAAGAGCTTCTTGCTCGGGAAACGATTCGAATTCTGCTCCGAGTAAACCAAAGGACCGAGCATTATAAAGCTCCTTTTTATATCGGGGCGTAAAAAATTAAACTGCACTCGCTAATATCGATCAAAGGTGATAATCGCGATATCAATGACGAGCCCTCGAAATTACGATTAAAACACATCCGAGGGAGCTGGTAGTGGGAACGTTGGGTTGCTCGGTCAGTGGCCAGGGTCACACGGCACCACCACGTGGTGTGTTCCACACAATATGCCCGACTGTGAGGGCGGGCACAAGCCGGCGTGAGTAGGTTAAACGTTGACTTTTATAAGGGCACCACGGGGTGACCAGCCCCTCCCCACCTAGCCCCTCCCTCCCCACCCTCCCCTCTCCACCCCACCCCTCCCATGTTTGGATGCACGACGGACGGACACAATAATCCCCTGTGGGCTGGTGGTGTAACCAGGAGGTTCCTACCAGTATGAATTAACTGTGATAAAAGCTACGAATAATAATTGCAGAGTAATCGCATCAGACAAGAGACATTTTTTTAAAAAAAATCTTAAGTTACAGGGAAAGCCTGGCGAGTTTTCAAGACGCGATTTAAAAAACGTGGAACGGACTTCAGACTCTCCCCAGTGGCCCGAGGGAGGGGATTCCACAATGGCACGGCGGCCAAATGACCCCAGCCCCCGCCCCCGCCCCGCGGGGTCACCTCCTCGGTGTCGGACGTGTGGGCGGCGAGGAGGGGGGCAGGGGAGGGCCCCGCAGCCACCTTGCGACGCACGGCACGGATCTGTAAAAGTGCCCGGAACGCTGCACACAAACACACACGCACAAACACACACACGCACAAACACACACACACACAAACACACACACGCGCACAAACAACAACAACAACCGCCATTCGCCACTAAGTGGCGGTGACATCACCACGACGCTTGTGCCAGGCTATGTGCACCCTGAGGCCACGTGAAGTGTCGAACGCCCGCTGGCAGGAGGTCACGGGGCAGACCCAGGTGCCACGGGTCGACTGACTGAGATGACTGGCTGATGCACCACCTGTGCCCCCTACTGTGCCAACCTGCTGTGCTTTAGCCACCCGGCGCTCCGCTCCGCTCGTTGTTGTGAGCGTCGCTCCTCCGCCCTCCGTTGTTGTTGGAGGGCAACTACCTCCAACTGCCCAGTAGCATCCTTCACGAGCCTCCTCCACAGAGGTCGATCTTGACACCGCTGGTACCAGTCATCGGCAAGTCCACTCAGCTCCACGTCCTCCTGTACCACATCACTCCATCTCTTCTCTAGCCCGTGCCGCGCCCGCTTAGCCCCCTCAATCCGGCCGAACAAAAGCTGTTTCGGCATGCGTTGGCTGGGCATGCGGGCTACATGACCCAGCCATCGCAGCCTTGCCCGCCGGAGGAGCTCACCGATGGGACCTTGCCCAGATCTTTCAAGGATTTGTGAGCTCCTCACACAATCCAGTCTGGTTAAACCCAGGATGGATCGTAGGCAGGCCAGCCTAAATGTTTCTAACCGGCGAAGATGTTCCATTAGGGGGGTCCACGTTTTGCACGCGTAGAGAAGGGAGGGAATGACCGTGGCCGAAAAGACCTGAAGCTTAGTGCGGAGCGACAGACCAGGTAGCTTCACACAGCGTTACGCAACCGATGAAAAGATATTGCCGCTCGACTGATTCGGAGTGAGACCTCTGCTGTTAAACTGGAGCCAGTCATAAGCACACTACCCAGGTATGGGAAACTCTCCACTCTCTCCACAACTGCCCCATCCCCGATTGGGAGTTGTGGGGGTGGAGTGTCCGATGGTACAAAATACCCAGGCAGGTGCTTAGTTTTGGTGGGGCTGATGGTAAGGCCCCACCTCTTAGTGGCACGCTCCAGTCTCAGCAGCAGCGTCTCCAACTCCTCCTCTGACTGAGCAGCTATTACCAAATCATCAGCATACATAACGTGGTTGACCAATAGGGAGCCATCCCTTGACCGCACCCGGGCATCGATCAGCCTCCCATTATATCTGTACCATATGGAGATTCCCCCGGTACAGCTATTGAAGGCGTCACGAACCACATGGTCAAAATAGATGTTAAATAATGTGGGAGCCAGAGGACATCCCTGTCGCACCCCAAGGTGTACAGGGAATGGCTCTGACTCCCGGCCACGTAGTTTTACCCGGGCCCGCTCACCATCATGAAGGTCCTTAATGATCGTGAGCAGAGGGTCAGGTACTCCAAAAGCACGAAGAACGACCCAGAGCCCAGGCCTACTGATGGTATCATAGGCCTTGACCAGGTCAATAAAGCAGAGATGTAGGTCTTGTTGGAATTCCCTACACCTCTGCTGTAGCAGACGGACAGAAAACATGGCATCTGTGCAGGACCGCCCTTTCCTGAAACCGCATTGGGGCTCCGCAAGCCTCTCCTCAGCGTGCCTGGCAAGGCGATGTTGAATAATCCTTGCCAGGACCTTTCCCGGCACACTGAGGAGTGAGATGCCCCTGTAGTTGTTACAGTCTGTGCGGTCCCCCTTCTTAAAGAGGGGGACCACCAGGGCATCCTTCCAATCCTGCGGAACCCGTCCAGCGGCCCAGACCGTTGTTATGACAAACACACACACGCGCACAAACACACACACGCACAAACACACACACAAACACACACACACGCGCACAAACACACACACAAACACACACGCGCACAAACACACACACGCACAAACACACACACGCATAAACACACACGCGCACAAAAACACACACACGCACAAACACACGCACGCACACAAACACACACAAACACACACGCACAAACACACGCACGCACAAACACACACGCGCACAAACACACACACGCGCACAAACACACACGCGCGCACAAACACACACGCACACAAACACACACACGCGCACAAACACACACGCGCACAAACACACACACGCACAAACAACAACCGCCATTCGCCGCTAAGTGGCGGTGACGTCGCCACTGCGCCTGCGCCAGGCCATGTGCCTACTGAGCAGAACTTGTGTACGCACACACACACACACATGCACACACACACACGCACGCACACACACACACACACGCACACACACACACGTGTACACTCGCACACAAAAGCACGTGTTTGGCCGTGAGCTGGGATCGAACTCGGGTCGCCGGGTTCGTAGGGCGGCATGCTAACCGCTGCACTACTGCTCCCCACACACACACACAACTACATACAGAAACACACAAAAATCCCCCCGTGTAGCCTTAACAGACTGTCGGGGCAAGTGTTGTTAGCGAGAACTGAAGAAGGCCTGCCCGGCACACGAGAGGGTGGGTGGCCAGCACCACGCCCGACTGCTTTTGTCTCCCCAGTGGCGATGTTTACTACACACCGCGCCAGGTACTCATTTGAGGCTGAGTGGACCCAGGGGAGGCCCAGGACCGGTTCAGATAACCGTCACCGGTGTTGGCCGTGAGCGTGAATCGAACTCGGGTCGCCGGGTTCGTAGCGCAGCGTAGCGCTAACCGCTGCACCACCGCTCCCCACAACACACAGGTACAAAACAAAGAGATACAAAGATCCCCCATATAGCCTTAACAGACTGTAGGGGCAAGTGCTGTTAGCGAGCACCTATGAAGGCCGGAACGGTACACGAGGGGGTGGGTGGCCAGCACCACGCCCGACCGCCTTTGTCTCCCTAGTGGCAATGTTTACACACCGCACCAGGTACTCATTTGAGGCTGAGTCGACCTAGGGGAGGCCCGGGACCGGTTCAGATAATCGTCACTGGTGTTGGCCGTGAGCGGGAATCGAACCCGGGTCGCCAGGTTCATAGCGCAGCGCGCTAACCGCTACACTACCGCTCCCCACCCAACCGAGGAGGGGGGGGGGGGGAGGATGAGGTGGGGGGGGAGGTGGGGGGTGGGGGGGGGTTCCCCTCCTTACGTAGCCGGCAAATGGGGCAGTTGTTGGCCTGGTAGCGCAGGGTGTCGGCGCAGGCGTTGCAGAGGCAGAGGTGGCGGCACGGCAGGATGATGGTGTCCCGCACGTCCGAGAGGCACACCACACACTCGCCGCTGTTGTCGCCACCGTCCTCCTCCGTGCTCTGCGCACGCCAGCCGGAACCCCCGCACGCACGCACGCACGCACGGTGAACTATCGGCAACGGTTGACTTGGCGACGCTTAAAACTGTCCCCGGGTGCCGATGTGCGTTTCGCTCCGTGTGAAGCAAGGGGCCGGGGTGTGCTCGCTTGTTTTATGCGTCGCGGGCCCACCCCTGTGTGACGTGTGTGACCCACGGACGTTTGCCGGAAGGCGGCGGCAGTAGCCGGCGCCAACAATTAACCCAAGCTCTGGGGGTCCTCTGTATATTAAGGCGTTATCGGTCAAGTTCATCAGTGGGAGGAGGCCAGAGCACCCGGGAGGAAACCCGCGGGAAACAATATCCCTGTACAGAGGCGTAGCTCTCAACCCATACGGTTTACCCAGTATTACTTGTAGAGGGAAATTTAGTTTTCAGGTCCATGCGGCGTACATCCGTTTCAATACGGGCAACAGAGTGATGGTGAGAGACAGAGTGATGGTGAGAGACAGAGTATACAGAGTGAGAGACAGAGTGATGGTGAGAGACAGAGTGAGAGACAGAGTGAGAGACAGAGTGAGAGACAGAGCAATGGTGAGAGACAGAGTGAGAGACAGAGTGATGGTGAGAGACAGAGTGATGGTGAGAGTCAGAGTATACAGAGTGAGAGACAGAGTGATGGTGAGAGACAGAGTGAGAGATAGAGTGAGAGACAGAGTGAGAGACAGTGATGGTGAGAGACAGAGTGATGGTGAGAGACAGAGTATACAGAGTGAGAGACAGAGTGATGGTGAGAGACAGAGTGAGAGATAGAGTGAGAGACAGAGTGAGAGACAGTGATGGTGAGAGACAGAGTGAGAGACAGAGTGATGGTGAGAGACAGAGTGAGAGACAGAGTGATGGTGAGAGACAGAGTGAGAGACAGAGTGATGGTGAGAGACAGAGTGAGAGACAGAGTGATGGTGAGAGACAGAGTGAGAGACAGAGAGACAGAGTGAGAGACAGAGTGATGGTGAGAGACAGAGTGAGAGACAGAGAGACAGAGTGAGAGACAGAGTGATGGTGAGAGACAGAGTGAGAGACAGAGTGATGGTGAGAGAGATGGTGCGAGACAGAGTGATGGTGAGAGACAGAGTGAGAGACAGAGTGAGAGACAGAGTGATGGTGAGAGACAGAGTGAGAGACAGAGTGAGAGACAGAGTGCGAGACAGAGTGATGGTGAGAGACAGAGTGAGAGACAGAGTGATGGTGAGAGACAGAGTGAGAGACAGAGTGAGAGACAGAGTGCGAGACAGAGTGATGGTGAGAGACAGAGTGAGAGACAGAGTGAGAGACAGTGAGAGACAGAGTGATGGTGAGAGACAGAGTGATGGTGAGAGACAGAGTGATGGTGAGAGACAGAGTGAGAGACAGAGTGATGGTGAGAGACAGAGTGATGGTGAGAGACAGAGTGAGTGACAGTGAGAGACAGAGTGATGGTGAGAGACAGAGTGAGAGACACAGTGATGGTGAGAGACAGAGTGAGAGACAGAGTGAGAGACAGAGTGATGGTGAGAGACAGAGTGAGAGACAGAGTGAGAGACAGAGTGAGAGACAGAGTGATGGTGAGAGACAGAGTGAGAGACAGAGTGAGAGACAGAGTGAGAGACAGAGTGATGGTGAGAGACAGAGTGAGAGACAGAGTGAGAGACACAGTGAGAGACAGAGTGATGGTGAGAGAGTGTCGAGAGCTTGTGAATTGATGTACTTACGCAATTCACACTTCCATTACTTAACTGCTTTTATTTTTATTCATTTTTAAGAAATTGGCTTACCATTCGTGTAAAATTCGCTGTCGTTTTTTTGCACTGTTTATGTTTGGTACAACTTTCTGACCGCCCCTCCCCCCACCTCCCCCCCCCCGTCTGAAATATAAAAAGAGCTTCATAGCTAATCGGATTTCTCCCAGGATGCCTGTGTTGAGCAGAGGCAGTGGTTACCTTGGGCTCCAAACTGTTCTTGTTTTCGATGCCGTAGATCTCCTGCAGGAGGTAACTCACTCCATCCACCTGCCACACAAAGACAAAGATCCCCCCGTATAGCCTTAACAGACTGTAGGGGAAAGTGCTGTTAGCGAGCACCTATGAAGGCCGGCACGGCACATGAGGGGGTGGGTGGCCGACACCACGGCCGACCGCCTTTGTCTCCCCAGTGGTGATCCGTGGCGGAGTCAGTGGGGGTGGGGGGGGGGTGGAGGGGGGGGGTGACACGTGCTCCCCAAATGATCCGATCGAAATCCCTAATTTCGATCGGATCATTGGGGGTTTATTCGTCATAAATCGGCATTTTGCGACCCCCACTGCCACTGTGTAGCATATTATTATTATTACGTGGCCAGGCACTCTACGAGATGATAGGACAATAGTCTGAGTCCATAATTGGCAATAAGTAACGGCAAAGCGGTTTATAAGCGACTCACAGAATTGCGCGCGGTCGCGTCTACAGAGTCCACGACTTCCCTGAAGGCATCGACACCTTCAGCGAGCGCGATGCCGATCACTACCAACGCGGTTCGAATACAAATCAAGCGACAAGTCCTTACTCGCAAAAAAAACTCCTTTATCATTTTTCATTGCTGGAGGGGTTGCCTCCACCCCTCCCTGAAAATCCTGGCTCCGCCATCGGTGGCGATGTTTACACATCGCACCAGGTACTCATTTTGGGGCTGAGGCGACCTAGGGGAGGCACAGCACCGGTTCAAATAATTGTCACCGGTGTTGGCCGTGAGCGGGATTCGAACCCGGGTCGCCGGGTTCGTAGCGCAGCGTAGCGCTAACCGTTGCGCTACCGTACCTCCGATCAGCACGGTTGGCTACGTACGGTGTGTGAAACAAGTTCCACATACTCACGTACCAACAGTCTCTTGACTATACGGTGTGTGTGGGGGGCGGCGGGGGGGCGGGGGGGGTCATCGTCTTGGCCTGTGCGCGCGTACAACTTTCTTGTTTGGTACGGCCGATGTAGATGTGGATGCGGAGCAGCAACTACAATTTCACATTCAGGCGGTCAAGCTGGATTAGCCGCGTCAGGAGCAAGCGGCGCGTTGCCGTGATGCCTCCATCTTGTTCGTGGATCCGGGGCCACTGCGTCTCGTTAACGCGTCGCTACCCTCTGCCTTAGATCACCACGGTCACTGCGTACGTGCGTAACAACTGCGTGCGTGCGTGCGCGTCTTTGATATCGTTGGGCGCGTGCTGGCAGCTGCCCTGCAACGACGGAGCAGCGGGACAGCTGGGACGAGCGTACGAGCGTGCGAGCGAGCGTTCGTTCAACTTCTTTCAACACACACACACACGTGGTTGGGATGCATCACGCGGGCAGAGTGGGCAGCACAGATGGCACGTCGGCCAGTTAACCACCACCCCCCCCCCACCACCACCTAACCCTCTCCCCCCCCCCCCCCCCAAGGAGTTCAGTTCATCAGTTGACCCCTAACAGCTGGGCCAGTCCCGTGACCACCTGCCAGCGAGCCTCGGCCACTCTACACATCCTCCAAGTGCACCTAGCCTGGCGCAGGAACTGTGCTTACGTCGCCGAAATTTAACCCACCCCCCCCCCCCCCCCCCGCGTGAAAATACAGTAAAAGCCTGGATCGCGAGTAACTTGGTCTGCGAGTGTTTTGCAGGACGAGCTAAAATTTGTAACTAAATATTAATTTGATAAACGAGCGAGGGTCTTGCGATACGAGTAGTAGTAGTAACGTATACACGCTTTGCCCTGCCGAGCGTCACGTGATCACAACTGATGCACGAGCGCTTTGACGTACGAGTGCTTTGGGTTACAAAACACGTTTCCGGAACGAATCATGCTGCGCAAATCCAAGGTGTTACACTGTATAGCGTGAGGTTGAGCTCGGTATCGTTTCGAACGCACACAGGGAGTCCTCTACTTACGAACATTCGAACAAACCTGCACGTACCGGTCCCAGTTGCCCGATCGGACCGAGAGTCGTACATCCAAAATCTGCAGAATGCGAAGAACCGGCGGCATCTGCATCTACACGAGATTATACAACTTCTCAAGCCATTAACCCGTGTCTAGTGTACAACAACGTTTGGAATCGACGGGAGTAAAGTTGCACTTGCGAACCAAATCCACTTGCGAGTAGACCTCTGGAACCCAACCCGTTAGTAAGTAGAGCGAAGCCCCTGTAGATAGCGTCCAAATCATTTTCTCAACGTGCAGAAACTGTCAATGTTTACGGCAGCATGAACGCGACGTGCCCTTTGAGCGCCAGATTGGAGCCAGATAGGCGCCGCACGCAAGCCTGGTGATTAAGCAAGAACGTTTATTCATAGAAAATTTACGTCGCCCGACTCACCACTTGCTTCTGCTTGAGAGGCTTCACGGAGAACGTTCCGTCGGCGGCCTGCAACACAGGGGGACGGACTCACGACACAGCCGGTGGGGCGTCTCACAGCCGTGACACAGCCTGAGCCAACACAGCTGGTTGGGTGTATTACAGTCGTGATACAGCCTGACCCTACAGCAGCCGTGATACAGCCTGACCCAACACAGCTGGTTGGGTGTATTACAGTCGTGATACAGCCTGAGCCAACACAGCTGGTTGGGTGTATTACAGTCGTGATACAGCCTGACCCAACACAGCTGGTTGGGTGTATTACAGTCGTGACACAGCCTGACCCAATAGCAGCCGTGATACAGCCTGAGCCAACACAGCTGGTTGGGTGTATTACAGTCGTGACACAGCCTGACCCAATAGCAGCCGTGATACAGCCTGAGCCAACACAGCTGGTTGGGTGTATTACAGTCGTGATACAGCCTGACCCAATAGCAGCTGTGATACAGCCTGAGCCAACACAGCTGGTTGGGTGTATTACAGTCGTGACACAGCCTGACCCAATAGCAGCTGTGATACAGCCTGAGCCAACACAGCTGGTTGGGTGTATTACAGTCGTGATACCGCATGACCCAACACAGCTGTGACACAGCCTGACCCTACAGCAACCGTGATACAGCCTGACCCAACACAGCTGTGATACAGCATGACCAAACACAGCTGGTTGGGTGTATTACAGTCGTGAAACAGCCTGACCCAACACAGCTGCGATACAGCCTGACCCTACAGCAGCCGTGATACAGCCTGACCCAACACAGCTGGTTGGGTGTATTACAGTCGTGATACAGCCTGACCCAACACAGCTGCGATACAGCCTGACCCTACAGCAGCCGTGATACAGCCTGACCCAACACAGCTGGTTGGGTGTATTACAGTCGTGATACAGCCTGAGCCAACACAGCTGGTTGGGTGTATTACAGTCGTGATACAGCCTGAGCCAACACAGCTGGTTGGGTGTATTACAGTCGTGATACAGCCTGAGCCAACACAGCTGGTTGGGTGTATTACAGTCGTGACACAGCATGACCCAACAGCAGCCGTGATACAGCCTGAGCCAACACAGCTGGTTGGGTGTACTACAGTCGTGATACAGCATGACCCAACAGCAGCCGTGATACAGCCTGACCCAACACAGCTGCGAGACAGCCTGACCCATCAGCAGCCGCGACACAGCCTGACCCAACACAGCCGCGACACAGCCTGACCCTACAGCAGCCGTGATACAGCCTGACCCAACACAGCTGGTTGGGTGTATTACAGTCGTGATACAGCCTGACCCAACACAGCTGCGATACAGCCTGACCCTACAGCAGCCGTGATACAGCCTGACCCAACACAGCTGGTTGGGTATATTACAGTCGTGACACAGCCTGACCCTACAGCAGCCGTGATACAGCCTGACCCAACACAGCTGGTTGGGTGTATTACAGTCGTGACACAGCCTGACCCTACAGCAGCCGTGACACAGCCTGACCCAACACAGCTGGTTGGGTGTATTACAGTCGTGACACAGCCTGACCCTACAGCAGCCGTGACACAGCCTGACCCAACACAGCTGCGATACAGCCTGACCCAACACAGTCGTGACACAGCCTGACCCAACAGCAGTCGTGATACAGCCTGACCCAACACAGCTGTGACACAGCCTGACCCAACACAGTCGTGACACAGCCTGACCCAACAGCAGTCGTGATACAGCCTGACCCAACACAGCTGTGACACAGCCTGACCCAACACAGCTGGTTGGGTGTATTACAGCTGTGACACAGCCTGACCCTACAGCAGCCGGTTGGGTGTATTACAGCCGTGACACAGCCTGATCCAACACAGCTGGTTGGGTGTATTACAGCTGTGACACAGCCTGACCCTACAGCAGCCGGTTGGGTGTATTACAGCTGTGATACAGCCTGATCCAACACAGCTGGTTGGGTGTATTACAGCTGCGACACAGCCTGACCCAACACAGCTGTGACACAGCCTGACCCTACAGCAGCCGGTTGGGTGTATTACAGCCGTGACACAGCCTGACCCAACACAGCCGCGACACAGCCTGACCCTACAGCAGTCGTGACACAGCCTGACCCAACACAGCCGTGACACAGCCTGACCCAACACAGCCGTGACACAGCCTGACCCAACACAGCCGTGACACAGCCTGACCCAACACAGCCGTGACACAGCCTGACCCTACAGCAGTCGTGATACAGCCTGACCCAACACAGCCGTGACACAGCCTGACCCAACACAGCCGTGACACAGCCTGACCCTACAGCAGTCGTGACACAGCCTGACCCAACACAGCCGTGACACAGCCTGACCCAACACAGCCGTGACACAGCCTGACCCTACAGCAGTCGTGACACAGCCTGACCCAACACAGCCGTGACACAGCCTGACCCAACACAGCCGTGACACAGCCTGACCCAACACAGCTGCGAGACAACCTGACCCTACAGCAGTCGTGACACAGCCTGACCCAACACAGCCGTGACACAGCCTGACCCAACAGCAGTCGTGATACAGCCTGACCCAACACAGCTGCGACACAGCCTGACCCTACAGCAGCCGGTTGGGCCCACAGTTTCGCCGCCGCGATCGCTAAACGCACCGTCGTCATCGCCCCCAAGTGTGAAGCCTGGAGACCGTGGGGACAGTGAGCGATGCACAACCCGATGCTGCTGATGATCCTGATGGAATAAACGGCTGAAGCGAGGTCACGGGCGTGGGGAGGGGCAAGTCCGTTTGTTGCCAGAGAGGGTTAAAAAAAAAAAGAAAACAACCTATTCTCATTTTTCACCACGAAGCTTCCGGTCCGGGCTCCCGTTGCTGGGGACCGCGGCCGCTCACCTTGTCGAAGGTGGCGATGAGGATGTGGCTGTGGCCCACGTGCTCTGAGGACGACAAAGAACGTCGAGTCAACTAAAACCATTTTTGATTAATGTCACCGGGTAAGGGCCCACCCCCCGCCGTAGCGTGAGGGCGGTGCGGCCTAGCGGGCAACGGCGAGCACGGCAACCCGGCTAAACCGACCGTCCCGAGCGTCGGTCCTTCGGCGGAGACTCGTTTAAAAAAACCCGCCCCCCCCCCCCCCAAAAAAAAAAATAAGTCTGGAGAAATCCGGAAAATGCTGCGATTGATTAGCGCGGTCGTTCTCGATTTGTTTACTTAGTCGAAGGTATTAACTTGTCGGGGGGTGTTATTTCGCGCGCTAATTTCGTGAGGAATGGAGGCGTATCGTTGGGACGACGGACGGGTATAGATTTGCGTCCGTGTCGCAAGCCGGCCCTGTCGCCCGATTTGGTCGGGCGAGCAACCCAGGTGGCACGGCGTAGGGGTCAATCACGGCGGAGAGATCGCGGCTGACGGTAAACAACAAAAATACAGCGCACCGCCTGGATTGCATGACGCAACCGGAGAGAAAGACGCGCCCCAAAACGTGCGACCAGTGTTGTTCATAAGGTCATCCACGTCTGGCAACACCGCACCAAGCTAAAGTAAAAACCTTGGATCGCGAGTAACTTGGTCCGCGAGTGTTTTGCAAGATGAGCAGACATTTGTAAGTAAACATGAATTTGATAAACGAGCGAGGTCTTCTTGCGATACGAGTAGTAGTAGTAACGTGTACACGCTTTGTACTGCCGAGCGTCACGTGATCACAACTGATGTACGAGTGCTTTGATATACGAGTAGTTTGGATTACAAAACACGTTTCCGGAACGAATTATGCTCAAGGTTTTACTGTAAAAATATATATTTTTTATTTTACCAGGTAAGGCCCACTGAGCTATAGCGCTCTTTTTCAGAAGCGTGCTGGCCATCGCAAACGATAGGCTAATGACGAAAAAAAAACCCAGCCAAATACCTCTAAAACGCATGACGTTGGAAGGGCATTGGCCATACCCAGAGGAAAATCCACGAGACCGCGGGGGAGAACACGCAAACTCCAAATATACAACAGCAGGCGTCAGGGTCGGGATCGAACCCACGACCTCCTGTATACCAGGCGAGGTAGTTAACATCTCACCACAGAGGCACGCAAACTCCAAATATACAGCAGGCGTCAGGGTCGGGATCAAATCCACGACCTCCTGTACACCAGGCGAGGTAGTTAACATCTCCTAGCCATTGTGATGATGAGAGAGAGAGAGACACACAAACTCCAAATATACAACAGGCGTCAGGGTCGGGATCAAACCCACGACCTCCTGTACACCAGGCGAGGCAGTTAACATCTCCTAGCCACCGTGATGATGAGAGAGAGAGACACGCAAACTCCAAATATACAGCAGGCGTCAGGGTCGGGATCGAACCCACGACCTCCTGTACACCAGGCGAGGCAGTTAGCATCTCCTAGCCACCATGATGATGAGAGAGAGACACACACGCAAACTCCAAATATACAACAGGCGTCAGGGTCGAGATCGAACCCACGACCTCCTGGACACCAGGCGAGGCAGTTAACATCTCCTAGCCACCGTGGCACCAACGCAAGCGCCACAGAAATATGTTTTTTCGTGAAAGTATCTCGACAGTGACAAAACAAAATCAAAGTCGGTAATTTTGCTATCGCGCTCTGGGATGCACGCGTTGCTCCGATCCTGTCTTGGGTCGTGACGATCTCCTCCGACGCGCATCTCTCCCGGCCGCTGCGCGTTTGCAGATTCCTCACCGCCTCCCTCCGCCACGGACGCTTGGATCACCATGGGGTACATCTCCTTCTCCGGGTCGTAGGTCATCTAGGGGGTCAAAAAAAGGGGGGGGGCGGGGCGGGGAGCAAGGGATGAGAGGGCAGTGCCGGGGTGGTTGTTCTACGGTCGGCTAACTCGGTCAACGTCAGCTGTCCAAATGTCGACCAGCCGCCAATCCCCGCACGTCCAAATAGCGGGGTTAGCTACGTACGGCGTGCAAAGAAATTCAGCAAACACACACACACAAACGTACGTACGTACGTGCGTACATACATCGGAACATTACCCGCCACCTCGAGTCATCCGAAACTATCCTGGGCCTACCCCGACGTCGACTTATTGTTAAACTTGAATCACAGTTCCTCTGATCACTGTTACATTGCTTTTATCGCACTATTTTGGTGATTTCGAAAACGTTTTGGTTTCGCCGTGTTTGTTTGTTGTAGCGCAGCGTTAGACCGATAACTTTAACATCAATTGTCTCATGGTTGTTATGGTTTTGACTTGCATCCCACTGGGATTTTTTGCACACCACAGCGTTGTTGAAATGCGGCGCTTTTTCCGGAAGACTTTGCCGTTTTTTCCTGGTTTTTGCTGTTTTGCGCGCAGTCACTCCCAAGACGGTTTTTCTTGTTCGTGTTTTTGCTTGCTGCGGTTGCACCCGATTCAAGAGCCGAATGGCTCACAGGGCTACACCTAATACATGAAACTGAGTCCACCCCCCGTGTAAACATCAGGGCTGGGGAAAACAATGGCGGTCATGGAGTGGTGTTGACCACCCACTCACTGCCTCTCGTGTGCCGTGCCGGACTTCAGAGGTGCCACTCGCTAACGGGAGCACTTGGCTCAACAGCCTCCTCTTCTTCGTCTTCTTCTGTACAGCTGATGTAGATGCAGAGCAGAAAAAAATTCAATTTCTCATTCAGGTGGTCAAGCCAGAGAGGCGGGTCAGGAGCAAATGGATCGGGGAAATTGTGTCGTTACACGTTGTACGGTCTGTTCTGGATGACCACAGTTGCACACTGCTGGAGAGGTTTTTATTTTTTTATTTTCCATTTGTGCATCAGGTAAACCGCATCTTCTGCCGTGGTTTGCGCAGCGGATGCGGTTTAGAGTGGACAATGAGCTTCGCGGGAGATCAGACCCAGGGGGATCTTCTGCGTTGGGTCTTACACAAGGTGCTTGTTTGGGTGTTCTTTTGAGCGTGTGTGCGTGCGAGCGTGTGTGCGAGTGTGCGTGCGAGTGTGTCTGTGTGAGTGAGAGTGCGTGCGAGCGTGTGAGTGTGCGAGCGTGCGTGTGAGTGTGCTTTCGAGCGTGCGAGCGCGTGTGTGTGTGAGTGTGAGAGCATGCGTGTGAGTGTGTGAGTGTGCAAGCGTGTGTGTGTGTGAGTGTGTGCGAGTGTGTGAGTGTGCGAGTGAGTGCGTGTGTGTGAGCGTGCGTGCGAGCGTGTGTGTAAGTGTGTAAGTGTGCGAGCGAGCGAGCGCGGTGTAAGTGTGTGAGCGTGCGTGCATGCGAGCGTGTGTGTAAGTGTGCGAGCGAGCGCGGTGTAAGTGTGTGAGCGTGCGTGCGAGCGAGCGTGTGTGAGAGCGTGCGTGCGTGCGTGTGTGAGTGCGAGCGTGCGCTGACTTCTTGAATGCTCCAGTCGGAGAGGTCGAGGCTGTGCGAGGGCAGGCAAAACTGCTGACCGGCTCCTCGTGGGAAGCTCACGAACTCCGACTTGAGCGATGGCGTCTTTGGGATGTAACTGAAGGCACAGGGAGAGGGGCACGTGGAGAGGGGACTCTAAATGCAGGCCAGGGGGCAGGGATAGAGGGCGGGAGCCACTTTCTCAGAATTCCTCGGCATTTTCCCCCGTTGTCTCTCCCGAGTGCACGGGCCTCTGTGTGCTTCCATGGGTCCCGCCGATGTGAGCCTGTGACTCCAAGGTGAGTCTGTTGTGGATCTGTGGATCTGATGTTCGTATATGGATGGCTACGTGGGTCTATGGCTCTCTATGTGTGGGTATCTCTACGTGGGTCTATGGGTGTCTATGTTAGTATACGGGTTTGTACGTGAGTCTATGGGTCTCCATGTGAATCTACGGTTCTCTGTTTGAGGCTGCAGGCCGCAGAGTCTGTTGGTATCTATGAGAGTATGTGTGGCTCTGTATGAATCTGTGAGTCTCTGTGCGAGTCTGTGGGTCTCTATGCGAGTCTGTGGGTCTCTATGCGAGTCTGTGGGCCTCTGTGTAATTCTGTGGGTCTCTGTGCAAGCCTCTGGGTCTCTGTGCAAGCCTGTGGGTCTCTGTGCAAGTCTGTACGTCTCTGTGCGAGTCTGTGGGTCTCTGTGCGAGTCTGTGGGTCTCTGTGCGAGTCTGTGGGTCTCTGTGCGAGTCTGTGGGTCTCTGTGGGTCTCTGTGCGAGTCGGTGGGTCTCTGTGCGAGTCGGTGGGTCTCTGTGCGAGTCTGTGGGTCTCTGTGCGAGTCTGTGGGTCTCTGTGCGAGTCTGTGGGTCTCTGTGCGAGTCTGTGGGTCTCTGTGCGAGTCTGTGGGTCTCTGTGCGAGTCTGTGGGTCTCTGTGGGTCTCTGTGCGAGTCCGTGGGTCTCTGTGCGAGTCTGTGGGTCTCTGTGGGTCTCTGTGCGAGTCTGTGGGTCTGTGTGCGAGTCTGTGGGTCTCTGTGCGAGTCTGTGGGTCTCTGTGGGTCTCTGTGCGAGTCTGTGGGTCTGTGTGCGAGTCTGTGGGTCTCTGTGCGAGTCTGTGGGTCTCTGTGGGTCTGTGTGCGAGTCTGTGGGTCTCTGTGCGAGTCTATGGGTCTCTGTGGGTCTCTGTGCGAGTCTGTGGGTCTGTGTGCGAGTCTGTGGGTCTCTGTGCGAGTCTGTGGGTCTGTGTGCGAGTCTGTGGGTCTGTGTGCGAGTCTGTGGGTCTCTGTGCGAGTCTGTGGGTCTGTGTGCGAGTCTGTGGGTCTCTGTGGGTGTGCGTGCGAGTCTGTGGGTCTGCGTGCGAGTCTGTGGGTCTCTGTGGGTCTCTGTGCGAGCCTGTGGGTCTCTGTGGGTTTCTGTGCGAGTCTGTGGGTCTGTGTGCGAGTCTGTGGGTCTCTGTGCGAGTCTGTGGGTCTGTGTGCGAGTCTGTGCGTCTGTGTGCGAGTCTGTGGGTCTGTGTGCGAGTCTGTGGGTCTCTGTGCGAGCCTGTGGGTCTGTGTGCGAGTCTGTGGGTCTCTGTGCGAGTCTGTGGGTCTCTGTGCGAGTCTGTGGGTCTCAGTGCGAGCCTGTGGGTCTCTGTGGGTCTCTGTGCGAGTCTGTGGGTCTGTGTGCGAGTCTGTGGGTCTCTGTGGGTCTCTGTGCGAGTCTGTGGGTCTCTGTGCGAGTCTGTGGGTCTGTGTGCGAGTCTGTGGGTCTCTGTGGGTCTGTGTGCGAGTCTGTGGGTTTCTGTGCGAGTCTGTGGGTCTGTGTGCGAGTCTGTGGGTCTCTGTGCGAGTCTGTGGGTCTGTGTGCGAGTCTGTGGGTCTCTGTGGGTCTCTGTGCGAGCCTGTGGGTCTGTGTGCGAGTCTGTGGGTCTCTGTGGGTCTCTGTGCGAGTCTGTGGGTCTGTGTGCGAGTCTGTGGGTCTCTGTGGGTCTGTGTGCGAGTCTGTGGGTCTGTGTGCGAGTCTGTGGGTCTGTGTGCGAGTCTGTGGGTCTCTGTGGGTCTGTGTGCGAGTCTGTGGGTCTCTGTGCGAGTCTGTGGGTCTCTGTGCGAGTCTGTGGGTCTCTGTGCGAGTCTGTGGGTCTCTGTGCGAGCCTGTGGGTCTGTGTGCGAGTCTGTGGGTCTGTGTGCGAGTCTGTGGGTCTGTGTGCGAGTCTGTGGGTCTGTGTGCGAGTCTGTGGGTCTCTGTGGGTCTGTGTGTGAGTCTGTGGGTCTCTGTGCGAGTCTGTGGGTCTGTGTGCGAGTCTGTGGGTCTCTGTGGGTCTCTGTGCGAGCCTGTGGGTCTGTGTGCGAGTCTGTGGGTCTCTGTGGGTCTGTGTGCGAGTCTGTGGGTCTGTGTGCGAGTCTGTGGGTCTCTGTGGGTCTGTGTGCGAGTCTGTGGGTCTGTGTGCGAGTCTGTGGGTCTGTGTGCGAGTCTGTGGGTCTCTGTGCGAGCCTGTGGGTCTGCGTGCGAGTCTGTGGGTCTCTGTGGGTCTGTGTGCGAGTCTGTGGGTCTCTGTGCGAGTCTGTGGGTCTGTGTGCGAGTCTGTGGGTCTCTGTGGGTCTGTGTGCGAGCCTGTGGGTCTGTGTGCGAGTCTGTGGGTCTCTGTGCGAGTCTGTGGGTCTGTGTGCGAGTCTGTGGGTCTCTGTGGGTCTGTGTGCGAGTCTGTGGGTCTGTGTGCGAGTCTGTGGGTCTGTGTGCGAGTCTGCGGGTCTGTGTGCGAGTCTGTGGGTCTGTGTGCGAGTCTGCGGGTCTGTGTGCGAGTCTGTGGGTCTGTGTGCGAGTCTATGGGTCTGTGTGCGAGTCTGTGGGTCTCTGTGCGAGTCTGTGGGTCTGTGTGCGAGTCTGCGGGTCTGTGTGCGAGTCTGCGAGTCTGTGTGCGAGTCTGTGGGTCTGTGTGCGAGTCTGTGGGTCTGTGTGCGAGTCTGTGGGTCTGTGTGCGAGTCTGTGGGTCTGTGTGCGAGTCTGTGGGTCTGTGTGCGAGTCTGTGGGTCTGCGTGCGAGTCTGTGGGCGAGCCTGTGGGTCTGTGTGCGAGTCTGTGGGTCTGTGTGCGAGTCTGTGGGTCTGTGTGCGAGTCTGTGGGTCTCTGTGCGTGTCTGTGGGTCTGTGTGCGAGCCTGTGGGTCTCTGTGCGAGCCTGTGGGTCTGTGTGCGAGTCTGTGGGTCTCTGTGCGAGTCGGTGGGTCTCTGTGCGAGTCTGTGGGTCTCTGTGCGAGTCTGTGGGTCTCTGTGGGTCTGTGTGCGAGTCTGTGGGTCTGTGTGCGAGTCCGTGGGTCTCTGTGGGTCTGTGTGCGAGTCTGTGGGTCTGTGTGCGAGTCTGTGGGTCTCTGTGGGTCTGTGTGCGAGTCTGCGAGTCTGTGTGCGAGTCTGTGGGTCTGTGTGCGAGTCTGCGAGTCTGTGTGCGAGTCTGCGAGTCTGTGGGTCTGTGTGCGAGTCTGCGAGTCTCTGTGCGTGTCTGCGAGTCTGTGAGTCTGTGTGCGAGTCTGCGAGTCCGTGTGCGAGTCTGCGAGTCTGTGTGCGAGTCTGCGAGTCTGCGAGTCTGTGTGCGAGTCTGCGAGTCCGTGTGCGAGTCTGTGCGAGTCTGTGTGCCGGGCCCTCTGCGCACCGCATTGCTCCTGCGTGCATCCCCTCTGTGGCCTGGTAGAAGATGCACAGCTGCACACGCGCGTCGCTGTCGAAGGTGAACTCCACATTGTACCGCACTCGCGTGCTCCTCCCCTCCCCGTCGTCGGGCTTCACCTCCTCGCTGCACCTGCAGGCCGTGGTGACGAACAGCGCTGGGCTCGCTTGCTTCCTCGCTCACTCAAACACTCGCTCACTCGATAGTATAATTATTCACTCCATCGCTCAAGTACTTGCTCGCTCGCTCGATCACTCAATCACTCGCTCATTCAATCACTTTCTCACTCGATCACTCAATCACTCGCTCGATCACTCAATCACTCGCTCGATCACTCAATCGCTCGATCACTCAATCACTTGCTTGCTCAATCACTCGGTCACTCAATCACTTTCTCGCTCGATCAATTAGTCGCTCGCTCAACGAGTCACTCGTTCACTCAATTACTCGCTCACTCACTCGCTCGTTCACCCACTCGCTCGTTCAACCACTCGCTCGTTCACCCACTCGCTCGTTCACCCAATCAATCGCACACTCGCTCATCCACTCACTCGCTCTTTAAAAACAGCGGCGCTACTATGTCTCTCTAAATGAAATTAGCACCGGGCCGCATGCGCGTTCCGAGATTCAGCGGTGAACGGGACACCAACCCTGCAACTTGCAGATGTCTGGGAATGGGAAAGGGTTCATATACCCCCCCACCGACTCGCCCGTGTGAATGATTAACCATCAACCTTTGCTCTGCGACTTGCGGTTAAGATCGGCTGGAGCCTCCTCTTGTACCGAGGCTGTAGTTTATTGCAATTGCTTTGTTTATCCCCTCGTACGTCACCCTGCTCACCTCCACTCGCTCTGCTACCTCTCTCATCTCACTCTACTCCCCTCCACGCACTCTCCCACCACTCCCCTCTCATCTCACTCCACTCCCCTACACGCACTCTCCTACCTCTCTCCTCTCACTCTACCCCCCTCCACCCACACACACCATATCCACACACACACACCATACACACCGTATCCACACACACACCATACCCACTGTATCCACACACACCATACCCACCATATCCACACACACACCATACCCACCATATCCACACACACACACAATACCCACCATATCCACACACACACAATACCCACCATATCCACACACACACCATACCCACCATATCCACACACACACCATACCCACCATATCCACACACACACAATACCCACCATATCCACACACACAATACCCACCATATCCACACACACACCATACCCACCATATCCACACACACCACACACACAACACACACCACACACAGACACACCACACACAGACACACCACACACAGACACACCACACACACACCACACACACACCAGACACACCAGACACACCACACACACACCACACACACCACACACACACACACACACCACACACACACCACACACCACACACACCACACACACACACCACACACCACACAACACACACAAACCACACAACACACACAAACCACACACCACACACACACACCACCACACACCACACACACACCACACACACACACACCACACACACCACACACCACACACACACCACACACACCACACACACACACAAACCACACACAACAACCGCCATTCGCCACTAAGTGGCGGTGACGTCACCACGACGCTTGTGCCAGGCTATGTGCACCCTGAGGCCACGTGAAGTGTCGAACGCCCGCTGGCAGGTGGTCACGGGGCAGACCCAGGTGCCACGGGTCGACTGACTGAGATGACTGGCTGATGCACCACCTGTGCCCCCTACTGTGCCAACCTGCTGTGCTTTAGCCACCCGGCGCTCCGCTCGCTGTTGTGAGCGTCGCTCCTCCGCCCTCCGTTGTTGTTGGAGGGCGACTGCCTCCAACTGCCCAGTAGCATCCTTCACGAGCCTCCTCCACAGAGGCCGATCTTGACACCGCTGGTACCAGTCATCGGCAAGTCCACTCAGCTCCACGTCCTCCTGTACCACATCACTCCATCTCTTCTCTAGCCCGTGCCGCGCCCGCTTAGCCCCCTCAATCCGGCCAAACAAAAGCTGTTTCGGCATGCGGTGGCTGGGCATGCGGGCTACATGACCCAGCCATCGCAGCCTTGCCTGCCGGAGGAGCTCACCGATGGGACCCTGCCCAGATCTTTCAAGGATTTGTGAGCTCCTCACACAATCCAGTCTGGTTAAACCCAGGATGGATCGTAGGCAGGCCAGCCTAAATGTTTCTAACCGGCGAAGATGTTCCATTAGGGGGGTCCACGTTTCGCAAGCGTAGAGAAGGGAGGGAATGACCGTGGCCGAGAAGACCTGAAGCTTAGTGCGGAGCGACAGACCAGGTAGCTTCCACACAGCGTTACGCAACCGATGAAAAGATATTGCCGCTCGACTGATTCGGAGTGAGACCTCTGCTGTTAAACTGGAGCCAGTCATAAGCACACTGCCCAGGTATGGGAAACTCTCCACTCTCTCCACAACTGCCCCATCACCGATTGGGAGTTGTGGGGGTGGAGTGTCCGATGGTACAAAATACCCAGGCAGGTGCTTAGTTTTGGTGGGGCTGATGGTAAGGCCCCACCTCTTAGTGGCACGCTCCAGTCTCAGCAGCAGCGTCTCCAACTCCTCCTCTGACTGAGCAGCTATTACCAAGTCATCAGCATACATAACGTGGTTGAGCAATAGGGAGCCATCCCTTGACCGCACCCGGGCATCGATTAGCCTCCCATTATATCTGTACCATATGGAGATTCCCCCGGTACAGCTATTGAAGGCTTCACGAACTACGTGGTCAAAATAGATGTTAAATAATGTGGGAGCCAGAGGACATCCCTGTCGCACCCCAAGGTGTACAGGGAATGGCTCTGACTCCCGGCCATGTAGTTTTACCCGGGCCCGCTCACCATCATGAAGGTCCTTAATGATCGTGAGCAGAGGGTCAGGTACTCCAAAAGCACGAAGAACGACCCAGAGCCCAGGCCTACTGATGGTATCATAGGCCTTGACCAGGTCAATAAAGCAGAGATGTAGGTCTTGTTGGAATTCCCTACACCTCTGCTGTAGCAGACGGACAGAAAATATGGCATCTGTGCAGGACCGCCCTTTCCTGAAACCGCATTGGGGCTCCGCAAGCCTCTCCTCAGCGTGCCTGGCAAGGCGATGCTGAATAATCCTTGCCAGGACCTTTCCCGGCACACTGAGGAGTGAGATGCCCCTGTAGTTGTTACAGTCTGTGCGGTCCCCCTTCTTAAAAAGGGGGACCACCAGGGCATCCTTCCAATCCTGCGGAACCCGTCCAGTGGTCCAGACTGTTGTTATGATGTCATATAGGGCAGTCTGTGCACAAACGCCACCCTCCCTCAGCATTTCGCTTGGGAGATCATCTCTGCCCGCTGCCTTTCCTGGTCTCAGACTCCGGATCGCCTTCAATACTTCCTCAGCAGATGGCACCTCAGCCAGCCACTCACAGGGGGTGACTTCATCCAATATTTGAGGCACCGCAGCCTCAGCAGGGTCATCCTCACTTTGTGCCACGGTGTTTTCCTGGCTGAGGGATTTTCCCTCCCCCAGGACCTCACAGAAATGCTCAGCAAATCTGCGAACCTGTTCCTGGGGGTCGGAAATTGGATCACCGTTTTTTCCCCTAATGATGGTAATAGGTGTGGCGCTGCAGGTTACTTTTTTGATGGAGTTAAATAGAGATTTGTGATCACGGGCCACTGAGGCAGACTCCATCTCCTCTGCAACCCGCGACCACCACCCATCCTTGCAGCGCCTCACGGCTCTCCGAACCTCCGAGCGAAGGCTGCGGTAAGCCTCCTCATTCTCTGACGTGGGATTCTGTAGCCGATGACAGTGGGCCTGTCGCTTTTTCTCAACCATCCTGAACAACTCCTCTGTCATCCAGGGTGTCTGGGGAGGTCTGGACCGCGTACCCAAAGCAGCCATTGCAGCTGCATGAGTCACAGTCCTAAACCTCGCCCATTTACCCTCGACATCAGGAGGAGTCGGGGACGATGCCAATCCCAGCCGCAAGCGATGATGAAATTCTCGCTTGCAACTTTCATCAGATAACTGAGACCAGGCCACTTTAGGTTGGAATGGGGTCCTGGGTGTACACCCACCACCGGAGTGGAAGAATGGCAGGCGCATCTTACAGATGACTAGTCGATGGTCAGAGGGCAGATCAGCTCCACGGTAGGTCCTGGTGTCAAGGACATGGGCTCGCATTCGCTGGTCCGTCACTATGTAGTCCAGCAGATGTTCTTGCTTGGACCCGGCATGCATCCATGATGTTGTGTGGATGCGCCGATGCCGGAACAGCGTGTTGGTAATTACAAGCCCATGGGCTGCACAAAAATCTAGCAGCCTCCTACCGTTGTTATTGAGCTGATCTGGCCCATGCCCTCCAATCACTCCAGACCAGGTGCCAGTATCATGACCAACTCGGGCATTGAAGTCACCCAACATGATGACTCTATCCCGAGGGGCCACTTTAGCCAGCACCTGTGACAGGAGGTCATAGAAGGCATCTGACTCATCGGCTTTGCCTGCATCCCTCCACGGATGTTCATCTTCGGTGGGGGCATAAGTAACCACGACCACCATTCCTCGCCTCCGGTTGATGGGAAGGCGAGCCCAAAGTAGCCTGGGGCTTACAGCTTCCCACACCTCACCGCCACGCTCCCACGCCCCCTTCATTCTTTTGTTCAAAAGAAGACCCACACCCTGTTGTTTGGCAGTCTGCTGCCCCGAGTAGAGGACTGTCCACCCCTCATGGTGGCAGGAGCCAGAGCCGGTCCACCGGACCTCCTGAATGCCGCATAGATCCAGGCGGTACCGGTCCAGCTCCCGACAGAGGAGTGGCAGCCTCTCCTCTGCAGTGAGCGTTCGAACATTCCACGTGGCCACCCGTAGTGGCTTTTCGTTGTTTCTGGAGTAGCCCCGAGGGTAGGTATTCAATCTCCTGGCTCTGCCAATTGGGGTTTGGCCAGGAGACGTCATAGACGCCTGGCCCCCCGGGGCCTCCGGCACAAGCTTAGTTGTTACATATTTCAGTTTAATTCGTGGTTTCGTGGTAATTAATTGAAGGTGGAGGGGTTACCAGCCCCTCGCACCCGTCCAGAGCCCCCGTTTAGCCCCTGTGGTGGACACATATGCCATGAGGGGAGGAGCCAATCAAAATTGGATCTCCCCCCACAGCGCAGTCCACGACAGAGTTGCCCGTCCGGCAATGTTTCTAACACACACACACAAACCACACACACACACACACCACACACACACACACCACACACACACACACACCACCACACACCACACACACCACACACACACCACACACAGACACACCACACACACACACACCACACACAGACACACCACACACAGACACACCACACACACACACACCACACACAGACACACCACACACACACGCACACACCACACACACGCACACACCACACACACACCCACACACCACCCACACACCACCCACACACCACACACACACCACACACACACCACACACACACCACACACACACCACACACACACACCACACACACACCGACACACCACACACCACACACACACACAACACACACCACACACACACACCACACACACACCACACACACACCACACACACACCACACACACACACCACACACACCACACACACACACCACATACACACACCACACACACACACTACACACACCACACACACACACACCACACACACACACCACACACACACACACTACACACCCCACACACACATACCACACACCACACACACCACACCACACACACCACAGACACACACACACCACACACACCACACACACACACACACCACACACTACACACACACACCACACTAACCACACACACCCCACACTAACCACACACACCACACACACACACTACACACACACCACACACACACCACACACACCACACCACACACACACACACACACCACACCACTCACACACACCACACACACACACTACACACACCACACACACACCACACACACACAAAACACACACACACCACACACACACCACACACACTACACCCCACACACACCACACACCACACATACCACACACACTACACACACACACACCACACAACACACACACCACACACTACACACACACCACACACACATCACACACACACACACCACACTACACACAGCACACACACACACACCACACACACGGTCTCTCACCTGACCAGGCGCAGCGAGTCTTTGCGGATGTTGACGAGGCTCCGGAGCGCTCGCACCGGCTCACTGGGAGGCGGCGCGGGATACGGAAACTGTGCGGGGCACAACCACAAACGACAAGAAGCCAAGGCCGAGTTGAGTCAGGGGGAGGCACGGACTCCCAGACAGGCGGGCGACACGCTCACGCTCCTGGATCCGCCTCTCCACGTTGGAAAAAGACAAAGGCATCCTCGACGCAAAAAAAACATCGGGCGCCCCCCCCGCCCGCCCTCCCCACCCCCACCCACCCCCTTCGTGGCCTTCTGGGAGTGAATAATTTCAGCCGCGCCGATTCAACGCAAGCAAACTCCGTCGTGATTTGCGCCATCAAAGAGTCTCATCAGCGGAGTCAGGCGCTTGCTCGATTAGGCGCAGGACAATTGTAGATTTGAAGTTTTCGTGACTGCAATGACCCATACTCTTTGGTTCTATCGGTAAAGTCACGTAGGTAAAAAAAAATAAAGTTAACCAAACCACGACGTTTCAGGAGGCAACACAAACTTCCGTCAGCAGGTGTAACTAGCACAGCAAAATTACTGTGATTTTTCTGTGCTAGTTACACCTGCTGACGGAAGCTTGTGCTAGTTACACCTGAGCACGGAAGCTTGTGTTGCCTCCGAAACGTCGTGATTTGATTAACTTTTTTTATTTTTACCTACGTGACTTTACCGAAAAGAACCAAAGAATATAGGCACAGGAGGGGCTGAGATGTCGGCGCCTACCACCGATTGTTACGCGTGGGCAGGGGTTCAAAGCCAGCTGGAAAGGATTTCAAAGAAGTGCATGGACCACAGCAACAAGTTTAAAGTTTTAACATTTTTTTTTTTAGTTGTTGTTGCTGTTGTTGAGCCAAGGTGAGGGCTCAAGAGACCAGGATAGGAATCTCATTCGCAAACAGTGGCCGGACCTGGGTCACCGGAAATGTGGTGGTCACGTCATGAAGAATTGGAAATATCGGAAATATAATTCCCCCGCGGCGCGCATCGGCTCGGCCGGATTACCTCTGGAATGATCGCGAAGCAAATTAACCCCCCCCCAAAAAAAAAACCCACTAAGCTACAGAAATATTTGATATCAAACAGATATAGTGTCTGTGCAGGAGAACAACTCTTAACGACCACTCCTGTTCACGACGAATCGCTTAACGACGGGCCTCCGTAGAGCCCAATGTGTAGTGTGTAGTGTAGTGTGTAGTGTAGTGTGTAGTGTATAGTGTAGTGTATGGTAGTGTGTAGTGTATAGTCGTGTAGTGCCTCCATAGAGCCCAATGTGTAGTGTGTAATGTAGTATATAGTGTAGTGTATAGTAGTGTAGTGTATAGTGTAGTGTAGGGTAGTGTATAGTGTAGTGTATAGTGTAGTGTATAGTGTAGTGTATAGTGTAGTGTATAGTGTAGTGTATAATAGTGTATAATATAGTGTAGTGTATAGTAGTGTATAGTCGTGTAGTGTATAGAGTAGTGTATAGTGTAGTGTATAGTGTAGTGTATAGTAGTGTATAATACAGTGTAGTGTATAGTCGTGTAGTGTATGGAGTAGTGTATAGTGTAGTGTATAGTGTAGTGTATAGTAGTGTATAGTGTAGTGTATAGTAGTGTATAATACAGTGTAGTGTATAGTCGTGTAGTGTATAGATTAGTGTATAGTGGTGTAGTATATAGTGTAGTGCCTCCATAGAGCTCAATGTGTTCGCTTACCGACCATTCCCCTGTTAACGACGGGCTGCTATAGGTACAGTAAATATGAATTATTGCATTTATTAACCACGTTTCCTTTAATATGATGTGTTTATGTTGTTAGTATCTTCATGTATTCACATCTATTGTTTAATAATAAAGTGCTTTTTTGGGTGAATAACCGGGTAACTTTCGATGCTATCGGAACGAATGAAGCTTCTGACGTGCTTTTCCCATACTCGCTTAACGACCAAATCACTTAACAACCAATTTCGTGGCACCAATCACCGTCGTTAAAGCGGAGTTCTACTGTTGTGCAAATACACCGATCCCAATATATACACACACACACACCCCCCATACAGGGGGGGGGGGGGGGGGGTGTTACATTTCTACCGCTTATTTTGTTTACCAACTGAAACCCACTTGAGCCATTAGCTCTTGTTCAGGGGCGACCTGGCCACACGTGACGATAGCTCATCGCAGTGACTTACATCATCATCGTCGTCGTCATCGTCGTCATCACACGTGGTGGGAATTTATAGTAGCAGCCAAATCGTCTGAACGCGTTTCGAAACGTGAAGGAGAGGGGTGGGGGCAAAAACCGATCACACGCGCACACGCGCCAGACGTGCACACGGGAGACACGTACACATGGTCACACGTACACATGTACACACCCGCACATGTATACACGGTCACACAGGAGACACCTACACGTACACACGTACACACATACATACGCACGCACGCGCACATGGTCACACGTACATACGCGACAGACGTGCACACGGGAGACACGTACACATGGTCACACGTACACATGTACACACCCGCACGTGTATACACGGTCACACAGGAGACACCTACACGTACACACATACATACGCACACACGCGCACACGGTCACACGCGCACATACACATGTGCACACGTACACACGGTTACATGTGCATACGCACACACGTACACACGATCGCACAACAGTCAACAGCATCAGCGTTCAACAAAAAAATATGCCTGCAGCATCGATAGTCATCCACAGCATCGTCATTGATCATGACCAGCGTAGCATCGTGCGCATCCGCAACATTATTAGCATCGCCATCATCTTCATCAGCATCCACAGCAATGGTGCAGTATTATTATACATCCCACTTTTATTCTCTCCACACTTATCCCACTTTATACCCTCTTCCCCGGCATAAGTGTAAACAGTACTGTGAAGACGTCCTTCTTTATATACAGGAAGTCCCCGACTTACGACGACCCCATCGTAAGTCGAAAGTTGGCCTAGCCTACCCAGGAGTCTTAAAGAATGGTGATAATTTACCACAACAGAGCAATTTACAGTACCGTACTGTTGTAAACTATATACTGTATACTCTTTGGTTCTATTGGGTAAAGTCACGTAGGTGAAAATAAAATAACAAAAAAATTAACAAAAAAATCACGACGTTTCGGCCACAACACAAGCGGCCTTCATCAGGTGAAGGGACGAGACTGTCTGGAGGACAGCGCTGGAGTGGAAGAAGCCACGCTCAGATCACGACCTTTAAGCTGTGTGAGAAGAAAAACACCAAGCGCCTTGACAAAGGAATTAGCATAGAATTTAGCATTGAAATGGCTCATTGAAATAGCTAAGTTAAAGTATACACATCCGCAGAGGTACCCCTTGACAAAGGAATTAGCATAGAATTTAGCATTGAAATAGCCGAGTGATTAGCTAGTAACTGGTCACAGAAATAGCTATGTTAAAGTTAGAGCATATACATTCACCGAGGCACCTAGTACTCATATACTGTATGTATTTATTAATTACAATACTGTATTGCACAGTCAAATTTAAAGTAAAAAAAACCAAGGTAAAATCTTAGCCTACCTATATGAACTGCAATTTCATGGAAAGTTTTTTCAGGAAACAATCCTCCTATCTGCTATAAAAACTTTTAACGCGCATTGAACGTGACGTATCGTAGCGTGGTAGCCCTGAAGTGAAATCGCTAAAGCTACGTACCATACACGCATTGAACGTATTGTAACGTATCATATTCTACTGTTACTCGCCAAAATTCTGTCCGTCGTCTGCAATACTTGAACGATGTTAGGGCTGTTGATGGCTACATTAACTTAGTTGTCGGATGAGGAGGATGGCGATGATCAAGTTACAGTAGTACACGCTGCTGCGTTTGCCTGCCGTGCGAAATTAAAAATAGTTAACAATTTTGTCGTATCGCCATCGTAACATCGAAGTATCGTAAGTCGGACGATTGTAAGTCGGGGACTACCTGTATTATATTTCTCACCGTTATTTTTTAAATAGTGTCCTTCGCAATAGAGGGTTTTGTTGGGTTAGATGGCGTGAGTATAAATGTGCCGTTAAAACCCGCCACCACCTGACACAGCCGATGAGTAAGGGGTTGGCCACGTTAAAACAAAACGTGTCAATTCGTTACTCGTACAGCACACCGGTGTGTGTGTTGGAGAGTAAACCCACAACATTTACAATTCGAGTACCTTGACATTTCGCCAGCAATAATCTCCAGCAATTACAGTGATAGTGTTCTATTTTGTGAGTTACTCATTTCCATTGGCGTAGTATACTTTTTATGCCCACTTATTGCCTTCCTTGAATATTGCTTCTACATATAGCTGCTGCACCGTTTGAGAGTTAAGGGCTTGCAAGTGATGCACTTCATTTGTCCTGCGATACACTTCGCCGTAGCCCTGTGCACACGACAAATAAACTAACGATTTTGATTTTGTTTTTAAGCTTTCGTGACTGCAGGGATTCAGGAAGGCTACTTGTGTCGTGGCCGAAACGTCGTGAGAATTTTATACTGTTATTATTATTATTTTTATTATTTTATCTCCATTCTACGTGACTTTACCGAAAGAACCCAGAAGATTTGATTTTGATTTAATTTGTACGGCTGACAAAGGCCTCTGTCCAACCTTCCCACCACGTCCCCCCCACCCCACTGCTAGCTGGGTCCGCTGCGGACTTCTTAGGGCCCCGCGTGGAGTTGCACAGCCCCTGCACACCGGCCGAGCCACGTGACACGCCACTCATCCACGGCATCGTCAGCCACCACCGGGGAGCGTCCGCGGAGACTCGAAGTTGGGCTGGTGTCTCGACTCACGGGCACGGGGCGGCTGCCCAGAAAGTTGAGGTCAGCGTTCTCCCCGAACAGGTAGCTCTCCGGCGTGCCGCTCTCAAACTTCTCCCCGCCCATGTAGAAGTGGCTGGCGAAGTAGTTTCCTGCACAGGGAGGTGGGGGCGGTGGAAGGGGAGGCGGGGGATGGGGGGAGGCAGCAGAAGCGCGCAAACGCATTCGTTTCACGTTTTTTCATTTCCCGCTTCGTCTTCGTTCAAACGTAACAAGGAACCGCGGCTCTGGCCCCACCAGAGATAATCGGACGGAACCGCAGGCACGCCTCCTTGTTGTGGGGTCGCTGCGGCGGCTAGGGGATGTTAACTCCCTCGCCTGGTACGCAGGAGGTCGTGGGTTCGATCCCGACCCTGACGATGCCTGCTGTGCATTTGGAGTTTGCGTGTCTCTCTCTCTCATCATCATCATCACGGTGGCTAGATGTTAACTCCCTCGCCTGGTATGCAGGAGGTCGTGGGTTCGATCCCGACCCTGACGATGCCTGCTGTGCATTTGGAGTTTGCGTGTCTCTCTCTCTCGTCATCATCATCATCACGGTGGCTAGATGTTAACTCCTTCGCCTGGTATGCAGGAGGTCGTGGGTTCGATCCCGACCCTGACAATGCCTGCTGTGTATTACGAGTTTGCGTGTCTCTCTCTGTAATCATCACGGTGGCTAGGAGATGTTAACTCCCTCGCCTGGTATGCAGGAGGTCGTGGGTTCGATCCCGACCCTGACGCCTGCTGCTGCTGTATATTTGGAGTTTGCGTGTCTCTCTCTCATCATCATCACGGTGGCTAGGAGATGTTAACTACCTCGCCTGGTGTACAGGAGGTCGTGGGTTCGATCCCGACCATGACGATGCCTGCTGCTGTATATTTGGAGTTTGCGGTGTCTCTCCCCGTGCATTTTTCTCCGGGTCCTTTGGTTTCTCCCTCCACATTTAGAATAAACCGTCACGCATTTATAGTCTTGGTTCTTTCGGTAAAGTCACGTAGAAGGGAAATAATAAAATAAAATAATACAAATAAAACAATAAAATTATCACGACGTTTCGAATGCAACACACCGGGTAAAAAATTAAGTGTATAGTTTATAGCGATCTGGGAAAACCAGCTGAGAGTGATCACAAGATCAGACCATACCTTCCTCTATATCAGCGGTCCCCAACCTTTTTGGCACCAGGGACCGGTTTCGTGGAAGACAATTTTTTTCACGGACCGGGGGGGGGTTCATCATTGGGTCTTTCCCCCTTTTCAAAGAAGCTCTCCTGCGACGTTTGTGTTTGTTACTCATTGTGGCTACTAGGGGTTAGAGCTTGTGGGCTTACTCACTGTGACTACTAGGGGGTTAGAGCTTGTGGGCTTACTCATTGTGGCTACTAGGGGTTAGAGCTTGTGGGCTTACTCCTTGTGGCTACCAGGGGTTACAGCTTGTGGGCTTACTCATTGTGGCTACTAGGGGTTAGAGCTTGTGGGCTTACTCATTGTGGCTACTAGGGGTTACAGCTTGTGGGCTTACTCATTGTGGCTACTAGGGTTAGAGCTTGTGGGCTTACTCATTGTGGCTACTAGGGGTTAGAGCTTGTGGGCTTACTCATTGTGGCTACTAGGGGTTAGAGCTTGTGGGCTTACTCACTGTGGCTACTAGGGGTTAGAGCTTGTGGGCTTACTCACTGTGGCTACTAGGGGTTAGAGCTTGTGGGCTTACTCACTGTGGCTACTAGGGGTTAGAGCTTGTGGGCTTACTCATTGTGGCTACTAGGGGTTAGAGCTTGTTGGCTTTATACCAACACTGTGACTGAGACAAGCGCGCAGTGCGGGAAAGAGGCGCGGGCGGGAGTGGTGAATAATAAAATAATGGGGGCGGGCCACGTGATCGGACTCACCGCTCTCACCTCCTGCTGCTGTGCGGCCCTGGTTCCTAACAGGCCATGGACCGGTATCGGTCCACGGTCCGGGGGTTGGGGACCCCCTGATCTATATAATCAACGAACCCTGCGGAATTTACAAACCGCTGCATCCCGGCTAGTGTATGGTCAGGCGTCATCTTCACAGCGGGATTCAAACTCACGTCAGTCAGCCCAGTACACATACAGTCTCAAGATCAAGATGTCATACGTGGCCGAAGCCGATGACGACAGCATCGCCACATCGTCAACGCTTACGGCCCCTTTGCCAGATTGCCGCAGCTGCTGCGCAATAGACACAGTGACAGACAAGATTTGCCCTGATGATATACCACCACCATCTGCTATTGAGACACACAGAAATCTACATGGCATAGAGAGACTACCCGTAGAGCCACAGCGACGTACAGGATCATGTAGAGGCCTACAGAATCATACAGGGACCTACGGACTCACGCAAGAGAGCCGTAGATTCACACACAGATAACTGCTGGCTCACACAAAGACCCATAGATGTGCTCTAGCTCTGACAGAATCCCACCATCTGTTCTTACGTATTTCCCTTGGCTGCGAGACATGTGAAAACCAGTCCAGTGGGACCTGGTTATTTATTGCTTAACTATTTTTGTTTGATTTTTTTTGGCATTTTTTTTTTACCACCCCATGGATATTCTCATCGTCATAAACCATCATGAAGTAAACTCCAGTTATCCTGGCAGCAGTGGCTTTGGCTAGTCATCGAACAAAGACGGTCAACCGCATCGCACGAAGCCTTCAAATGCGTTTCTGCGGCAGTCCGGAACGGCCTTCCTTCCGATATCGGGAAGACGCTGGATCTATGCACTTTTAAATCTCGATTGAAAACTCATTTCTTTAGAACTGCTTTTAGTGTTTCGTTTGTTGTCCTTCTCCCGCAAATCCGATCAGCATGGGTGGCTACATACGGTGCGAAAGACGATCAACATGCATACGTACATACGCTACACTCCTATACACTACACTATACAAGACGATACACTACACTACTATACGCCACACTACTATAGACTATACACGACTATACACTACACTATACACTACGCTATACATGACAACACTCTACACTATACACTACACCACAATACTAAATTAAAAACTAATTTCTTTAGAACTGCCTTTTGTGTTTAGTTTGTTGTCTGTCCCCCCACACCTCCAATCAGCACGGTTGGCTACGTGCTATGTGAAAGAAGTTCAACATGCATACGTACATAGACTCACACAGAGACCCATAGACTCACGCAGAGACCCATAGACTCACGCAGAGACACAGACTCACGCAGAGACACAGACTCACACAGAGACACAGACTCACACAGAGACCCATAGACTCACACAGAGACACAGACTCACACAGAGACACATAGACTCACACAGAGACCCATAGACTCACACAGAGACCCATAGACTCACGCAGAGACCCATAGACTCACGCAGAGACCCATATACTCACACAGAGACCCATATACTCACACAGAGACCCACAAACTCACTACAGAGACCCACAGACTCACTACAGACCCACAGACTCACTACAGAGACCCATAGACTCACACAGAGACCCATAAACTCACTACAGAGACTCACAGACTCACACAGAGACCCACAGACTCACACAGAGACCCATAGACTCACACAGAGACCCATAAACTCACTACAGAGACTCACAGACTCACACAGAGACCCACAGACTCACACAGAGACCCATATACTACAGAGACACATATACTCACACAGAAACCCACAGACTCACACAGAGACCCATATACTACAGAGACCCATCAACTCACACAGAGACCCATAGTTTGTTGTCTTTCCCCCGCACCTCCGATCAGCACGGTTGGCTACGTACGGTGTGAAAAAAGCTCAACATACGTACTTTCAAAAGTACATTTCGCTAAGTCACGTGATTTCACAACACTTTAGCCTGAGGCCAACACTAAAGCGGCAACATTCCACGAATGAATTATCATTTTGAGTGAGCATAATATTACACGGGCATTTATTAAAATTTCATTCTTTCTTTAGAAACTAATCACCTACAGTTGTGAAACAACCTTGACAAGGCCCCGGATTAAACAGGCACTTGCAAGACATGAGCCAGGGGGCGATATGGTCAATTGACATTCGTTAATAAGTGACGGGGTGTTGTGGAAGGAGAGATGCCCGTTTTTGCAGAGCGGAAAAAATTATCAAAGCGGGAAACGATACCAAACCACATGACTCATGTGAACTTGACAGGGTAATATCCCTTTAATGCATATGCTTTGTCTCATTTTTCTCCGTCCTGATTGTGCTATCGTGTCACGAGGTAGCCTACGAAAGGCATATGATGACAACCTGCCCCCCCCCCCCCCCCCCCGTGCGTGATGCTCACCCAAACCAAAAGCGAAAATCCAGGCTGGAAGCTGCTCAAGCTTTCGGAATGTAGGAGCTGACGAGATCGAGGCACATCATTCTGGGCGCATCTGACACAGGCCAAAGAGCAATCGAGAACGACAACGTAAGGGGTCGCCGTTGGTGTTTGTGAACGTGCGTTTGAATGCAACGGGCACCTTTCGACGCTGCACAGAAACACGGGGACCCCTCTACTCACGAACAGACCTGTCCGCATGTACAGTTGCCCGTTCGGACCGAGAGTCGTACGTTCAACCGCCGGGCAATAGACGGTGGCGGTGGCATCTACGTCTGCAGAACGTGAAGAACCAGTGGCGTCTACATCTGCAGAACGTGAAGAACCAGTGGCGTCTACATCTGCAGAACGTGAAGAACCAGTGGCGTCTACATCTGCAGAACGTGAAGAACCAGTGGCATCTACATCTGTAGAACATTAAAAACCAGTGGCATCTACATCTGCAGAACATGAAGAACCAGTGGCATCTACATTTGCAAAACGTGAAGAACCAGTGGCATCTACATCTACAGAACGTGAAGAACCAGTGGTATCTACATCTTTAGAACGTGAAGAACCTGTGGCATCTACATCTGCAGAACGTGAAGAACCAGTGGCATCTAGATCTGCAGAACGTGAAGAACCAGTGGTATCTACATTTGCAGAACATGAAGAACCGGTGGCATCTACGTCTACAGGAAATTATACAACTTTTTAAGCCATTCCCCGTGTTAGTGTATGCGCCGTACAACATTGCAAGCGACTGGAGTAAGGGGCCATCCATTGAGTAGGTACGCAAAAATCCGTCAAAACTTTACCGTTCCCCCCCTGCCTGTACGCACGGATACTTTTTACACCCCACCCCCACCTGCGTACGTTCGCTTGACGCATCCCCCACCCCCAATCCTATAGAACTGCCGATATTTAATCCACGCAGAAACGATCAAGGATTAATAATATTAACGTGTTTAAGCAAACAGATTGTCCACCGCTGGACTATCTGACTCATTTGAAGGCCAATGTAGGCACATTATTATCGAGGCTTCACCCCCCCCGCCCCACCCGTTTCCTATGCGTACGTACATTGTCAGTAAACCCCCCAATACGCGCAAGCGTACGCATTTGGGTTAACCCCCCCCCCCCCTCCATGTGCACGTACTAAATGGATGGCCCCTAAAGTTGGACTTACGAACAAGTCGACTTACGAACAGACCTCTTGTAACCTAACTCGTTCGTATGTAGGAGTCCCTTTAACAATATAATAATAAAAATACAATGTATGGTACAGCCCTCTCTAAATTGACTGCTGGATGAAGTAGACTACTTATATGATTGGCAAGTTACTTCTTCTTGAATGAATGTATGTTGTTGTTTTTATCATTACAACTATGCTTGTTGATCCTGGAAAGCCTCACCGAGTCTCAAAATTCGTCTTTCAGAAAGATCCTGCCAAGTTTTCGCAGCCAAGGGCGACGTTGCTACACGTAATCCACATTAATATTTTTTAACTGGTAATCTGTCCGCATTGGAATATTCTGCCCAATTCCGGTTAAATTGTGTGTGCATTTTGTAGCAAAGGGAAGGAGGAAACTGGATAACCTGACAACATGAACTATTGAAAAACTTTTTTTTATGTTACCAAGCAAGTAAGGTCCACCGAGCTAAACAGCTCTTTTTTCAGAAGCGACCTGGCCACAAATGATAGCTCAAAGAAATGGTTCATCACGTGGAAATTTATAGCAGCCAAATACTCTAAATGCATGTTGATTCTAAATGTGGAGGGAAATTCGGAGAAAATCCACAGCAGGCGTCAGGGTCGGGATCGAACCCACGACCTCCTGTACACCAGGCGAGGTAGTTAACTTCTCCTAGCCACTGTGATGATGAGAGACAGAGAGAGAGGCACGCAAACTCCAAATATATAGCAGGCATCAGGGTCGGGATCGAACCCACGACCTCCTGTACACCAGGCGAGGTTAGTTAACATCTCCTAGCCACCGTGATGATGATGAGAGAGAGACACGCATACTCCAAATATCCAGGCGTCGACAGGGTCAGGATCTAACCCAAGACCTCCTGTACATCAGGCGAGGTAGTTGACATACAAACTGCACCCAGAAAGGCGACCAAGTCGGGTAACGAACTCAGGTCGGTACGACTGTTTACCACTGCGCCAACCTGCCGCCTGTAAGACGTTAAGTTAAAACAAACATATATATGTATTTATCGACGTTGTTTCATAGCGTCACTGATTATATTATAATTTAGAAGAGCGTAACAGTCATAAGCAGAGGAAAAGAGGAAGGGTAATCGTAGTAGTATACAAATAACTTACTGCATCGGTGTATGCGTTAATGTACTGTATATACAATCCTGTACCGTAATAATTAATGTTTTAATGTATAATCTTACGTCGGTATACATGATAAAGGGGTGTTTTTGTTGGGTTAGATCGCGTAAATGTGTCGTTAACTCACCACCACCCGACACAGCCAATTTAGTAAGGGGTTTGTTACGTAAGCACAACGTGCCAACTAATTACGACTTCAGCATACCGGATGCGTTGGAGAGTAAACCCACAACAACATTTACAATTTAATAACGGTGACGTTTCTCTGACGATTACTATAACAACAACAACAACAACATACCTGGCAATCACTTGCTTATCAGTGCCCTACCTTATTACAGACCAATTAAGACATTATTATACATCTCAATGTTCATCCTACAAAGTCCTATCACAAGGGAGACACAAACACATATAGCATTTTTTGTTGTCCGTATTGAAACATCTATACGCCGCATGGATCTGAAAACTCAATTTCCCTGTACAAGAATACGGGCTTAAACCGTATGGGTTGACAGGTATGGTATAGTAGTGTTCTGTATAGTGTAGTGTATAGTAGTGTGGTGTATAGTAGTGTTTAGTGTATAGTAGTGTAGTGTATAGTGTAATGTATAGTAGTGTTTAGTGTAGTGTATAGTAGTGTATAGTGTAGTGTATAGTCGTGTATAGTGTAGTGTATAGTAGTGTATAGTAGTGTAGTGTATAGTGTAGTGTATAGTAGTGTAGTGTATAGTAGTGTAGTGTTTAGTAGTGCAGTGTATAGTGTAATGTATAGTAGTGTAATGTATAGTAGTGTAGTGTTTAGTAGTGTAGTGTATAGTGTAATGTATAGTAGTGTAGTGTATAGTAGTGTAGTGTATAGTGTAATGTATAGTAGTGTAGTGTATAGTAGTGTAGTGTATAGTGTAATAGATAGTAGTGTTTAGTGTATAGTAGTATGGTGTATAGTGTAGTGTATAGTAGTGTAGTGTATAGTAGTGTAGTGTATAGTGTAATGTATAGTAGTGTAGTGTATAGTGTAATGTATAGTAGTGTAGTGTATAGTGTAATGTATAGTAGTGTATAGTAGTGTAGTGTATAGTAGTGCTTAGTGTATAGTGTAATGTATAGTAGTGTATAGTAGTGTAGTGCATAGTAGTGTTTAGTGTAGTGTATAGTAGTGTTTAATAGTGTAGTGTATAATAGTGTAGTGTTTAGTAGTCGTGTATAACATAGCTTTCAATCCCTTATTAGACTAATTCATATCGTATTGGTCACCCCGTGCCCCTAATAAATCTCAACGTTCACCCTACAAAGTCGCATCACAAGGGAGAAACACAAATCGAAACAAATGCCGTATTGAAGCTACTGTACGTCGTATGGGCCCGAACACTCAATTTCCCTGCACAAAAATAGGGGCTAAAGCGTATGGGTTGACAGGTATGATACAGTAGTGTATAGTGTAGTGTATATCAGTGTATAGTAGTGCAGTGTATAGTAGTTTAGAGTATAGTAGTGTAGTATATAGTAGTGTAGTGTATGATAGTCTAGTGTATAGTAGTATAGTGTTTAACGTAGCGTACAAGAATACGGCCTAAACCTTATTGGGTTGACATTACATGCAACAACAACAACAGCCAGGTTCATCAGGCGACAAAAACAAACCTCGATCGTGAACAACATTGGTAGCGAAAAAGGCTGCGTGTTAAAACAATGTACGCGCGCGTTTACTGCACGCTGAACGTACAATGCATGCGCGCGTGCAAACAGCGTATTCGACGTAACATCCATTTGCTAAATTTCCCCACGCAAGTTGAGGTGATTTGACCATACTTCACCGCGCTGGTCAGTGAGTGTTGGTGAGAGAAGGCTTACCGGTCTTGGGTGGGTACTTGTAGGCGGAATTCGACGGGATATCCAACTCCTCCACGCCTCCACGCTGCCTGCTCAGCAACATGCCCATGTCTTCGACGAATCCCGGCTCCAAAATCAACAACAATAACAACAACGATCGAATCCGACCTCGGCCCCCAGCACTCCCCCCCCGTAGGGTGGTGCGGCCTAGCTCCTCCTGCGGGCGTCGGCTGAGGGGGGACCCGGCCAAACAAACTATCCGAGGGTCGGTCCTTCAGCGTTACAAAAAAAAACGTTGGGAGAAATCTTTAAAAACGCGCCTATCGACTCGTGCGGTCGTTCTCGACTCGTTTATCTGTTCAAAAACGTTAACCCGTTGCGCTAAATTCACGGGAAGAATAAAATAATGATTTATTGGGGCGAAAAAAAGGGAGCCGAGAGAGATCCGCAAGCCTCTCTCGGGACCCGTCGTCGCAACGGCTTCCGATTGGTTGGCGAGCGAACCCACGTGGCACGGGGCCGAGGACCAATCAGGGCGGGCGCTGGCGGGCGACTCGTTAGAGTAAACAACAACAACAACAAAATTTCGATTTAACGCTTTCGTGACTGCAAGGATTCATCTTCTTTGGTTCTTTCGGTAAAGTCACCACCACGTAGAATGAGAATAAAATAATACATTGATAAAATAAAATAACACAATAATATTCTCACGACGTTTCGGCCACAACACAAGCGGCCTTCATCAGGTGAAGGGACGAGACTGTCTGGTAGGACAGCGCTGGAGGGCAACAACAACAAACAATAGGAGCGCATCGTCCGGATTATAAGACGCACCACCGTTGCCTTACGAAGGGGTTAGGCGCGGTTCGTTCACTCGAGGCGTTGGGGGGGGGGCGCAAGCCCCACTAAGCGGATGGAGAGATGCGAAATTATTTTTCTAATTAAAAAAAAACTTTGATTTAAAGCTTTCGTGACTGCAGTAATTCATATTCTTAGTTTTTTCGGTAAAGTCACGTTGAAGAGAAACAACAAAATAATAAAATATATAAAACAATAAAAAATTCTCACGACGTTTCGACCATAACTCAAACGGTCGTCTTCACCTGGTCGAAACGTCGTGAGAATTTTTTTATTGTTATATATATATTTTATTATTTTGTTGTTTCTCTTCAACGTGACATTACCGAAAAAACTAAGAATGTAAAAAAAAAACTTTTCTATAAATAAGTTTGTTGTTATTCTTGGTTCTTTCGGTAAAGTAACGTAGGTAGAAAATGTAAATGTTAATTACGTCACCCGCTCATGATTATTAATGAGGGGGGTGCCGCATTCAGAGTGACGTCACCCGATCATGATTATTAATGAGGGTGGGTGCTTCATTTAGAGTGACGTGCCCCATTGATAATTATTAATGAAGAGGGGGTGGCGTCCATGCGGAGTGACGTCACTCACTCATGATTATTCATGAGAGGGGTGCCCCATGTGGAGTGACGTCACTCACTCATGATTATTAATGAAGGGGGTGTGCTCCATGTGGAGTGACGTCACTCGCTCATGATTATTAATGAGAGGGGTGCCCCATGTAGAGTGACGTCACTCACTCATGATTATTAAGGAAGGGGGTGTGCTCCATGTGGAGTGACGTCACTCACGCATGATTATTAATGAAGGGGGTGTGCGCCATCTGGAGTGACGTCACTCACTCATGATTATTAATGAAGGGGGTGTGCCCCATGTGGAGTGACGTCACTCACTCATGATTATTAATGAGGGGGTGTGCTCCATGTGGAGTGACGTCACTCATTCATGTTTATTAATGAGGGGGATGTGCTCCATGTGGAGTGACGTCACTCATTCATGTTTATTAATGAGGGGGGTGTACTCCATGTGGAGTGACGTCACTCACTCATGATTATTATTCATGAGGGCGTTACGGAGTTAGCGTCATATCAAGGTTATCGCTTTTCATATTTTAATAAAATGGATATAATAAAGGGCTAGTCGATTTCACAAAAATAAAAATGTAATGCAAAAAAGACGATACAATTAATATTGTATTGAAATTATTTAATATATATATCACACATTTGGTGTAAAATTTACGATTATCTCCCCAAAAAGTTTTCCTTGAGCTTAACAGGTAGGCTTTCGCGACCAATATCATCCATAATAGAGGTCGCCGTCGAGAGCCAAGCCACAACATTTACAACCTGAGTAAAATTAGTACTCAGATTGTAAATGTTGTGGCTTGGCTCTCCAACACACCGGTGTGCTGTACAAGTATACTACACTATACACTACACTATACACTACTATGCACTACACTACTATACACTACACTATACACTACACTACTATACACTACACTATACACTACACTATACACTACACTATACACTACACTACTATACACTACACTATACACTACACTACTATACACTACACTATACACTACACTACTATACACTACACTTTACACTACACTACTATACACTACACTACTATACATTACACTATACACTACACTACTATACACTACAGTATACACTACACACTACACTATACACTACACTATACACTACACTATACACTACACTTTACACTAGTGCTGTACTAGTGACGAATATGCCACGTTCTGTTTACGTGACAACCCTTACTAGTTGGCTGTGTCGGGTGGTGGCGGGTTTCAACGACACATTTAGATATTTACTAAATCTAACTCCAAAAACCTCTATTATGGAGTTTTCATTGAGATGACGCTTTTTTGTGAGGTTGAAATCGGCACTTTGATGTTGGTTGGATTATTTATATGTTTTTGCTGCATTTTGACAAAGCAACGCAATGAGATTGTCCGTGGGGGTGGTGGTACGAACAAAAACCACGTGCTGCTCGTTGAGATAAAGTCCAACAGTACTTTAAAGTTTTTTTTGGTAGCCTTGTGTAGTGTAATAGCTCCTGCCGGTGGACAGCAGCGGCAACTGCGGTGGACAGACAGCACTCGGGCAAGGGTCACGGAGGACCCCGTCTGGAGGCCCCCAGAACCTGCTGCTAGCGGGTTCGAGAAGGGAGGCGTGGTCAGGGCGGAGCCAGGGCCGCGCCGGGAGCTTAAAAGGAGCCGAGAGCGAGGGGGAGCTCGAGGCTGCCGGTTCTGGGAGTGGACTCGTCTCGTCGTCGCCGTCGCCGCTGAACGTCTCCGCTAGACGTTGCGCTACGGAGGGGAGCAGTTGGCCGTCTCGGTCAGCGCCGTCAGCGTTAGACGGCTCGTGCTGAGTACAGGCCGGGCTGAGCTACTGTGGGGAGTGTGCGGACGAGACCGTGATAGTTGCTAATGATCACCATATAATTTTCTCCGATACCAAGATTTTTTGCAAACCCACGGGTTTTTTTTTAATCAGAGATTTGTTCACGAGGCAATTCAGATCTACAAACACAGACACAATTTAAACCGAGAAGATGGTTTCAAATTAAGCAACCATTGGAAAGATGTTTTAAATCAAACCAAACATTAAACTAATTTTTCAATGGTACAGTATATTTTTCAAGTAGTGGTACCCCAAACTTTCGCAGCTTAAAATCCCCTTTTCACACCACCGGCATGTGGACGCTGCCTTGCACCCACGCCAGCCTGCACAGGTCGACCCCCTCCCTACCTTTCATCATGCTAAGTCCGCCTATTAAAATGCAATTTGTTAATGCTAATTCCTTTGTCAAGGCACCTTAATTACTCTCACACAGCTTAAAGGTCGCGGCCTGAGCTTGGCTGTGTTTCACTCCAGCGCTGTCCTCGAGGCAGTCTGGTCCCTTCACCTGATGAAGGCCGCTTGTGTTGTGGCCAAAACGTCGTGATTTTTGTTGCAGTCACGAAAGCTTCAAATCTAGAAAAGAAAGCGCCTCCTAGAAACTCTAGGAGTTCTCTACTTGTGTAGAGGACAGTGCGTGGACGAGCGGTCACAAGGGGCAATAACAGGCTAGGTAACAGAGAGAGGGGAACGACCTGGGATCTTCGGGAAGGTTCAAGAACCTGCGAGAGAGTTCGACTAGGTAGGGGGGTGGAGGGATGGGCCACGCTGGGGATAAGATGGGGCGAGGTTTCGGGGCTGCTGCCGTGGGAGTCGCTGTCCAGCGAACGGGTCTCAATTCACCGCTGTGAAGTTCGTGTCTTCGATAATGCAACCCTCACGACACCGCCTCTCCGAGAGTCGTTACACTCTCGGCTCATTGACAGCGATGGCAAAGGCGGGAATGATTCGGGGAAAGGTAAAAAAAAAACAACAACAAACTCATTCTTCGTTTCAAAATAAATGGGTGAATCAGAGTCGGGTCAATTGTGGACGTTCGCAAAGTGTTCACCATGGCGTGCGGAGCCAAGAGTCACCAGAGTGTGAACTGCGTCGAGTTGAAATTGAAAGCGGGATTCTGCTTCTTTGTTTAATTTTCCTATTCGATGTCCAGAAAAAAAAACCAATAATTATTGGTCACACACAAACACACGCGCAAATATTAACCGAATAGAGTCGTTATTATTATTCCGTAACGGTCCGCAAAAACGAAAAGAAAAAAATACAATACACAGGTGAGATATACAGTAGGCTTTCATCTAAAGCGGTGCTGGTGTATGGTTCGATAATGAAACCCTCACGACACCGCCTCTCCGAGAGTCGTTACACTCTCGGCTCATTGACAGCGATGGCAAAGGCGGGAATGATTTGGGGAAAGGAGAAAAAACAACAAACCCATTTTTCGTTTCAAAATAAATGGGTGAATCAGAGTCGGGTCAATTGTGGACGTTCGCAAAGTGTTCACCATGGCGTGCGGAGCCAAGAGTCACCAGAGTGTGAACTGCGTCGAGTTGAAATTGAAAGCGGGATTCTGCTTCTTTGTTTCATTTTCCTATTCGATGTCCAGAAAAAAAACAATAACTATTGGTCACACACAAACACACGCGCAAATATTAACCGAATAGATTCGTTATTATTATTCTGTAATGGTCCGCAAAAACGAAAAGATAAAAATACAATACACAGGTGAGATATACAGTAGGCTTTCATCTAAAGTGGTGCTGGTGTATGGTTTTCGTAGAAAATCGATTATCCATGTACCCACACACTAATAATTGTTTACAATTAATAATAATCACCCGGAAATGTCTGTCCGTCCCGCGTGTGACGTCACTCCACAGGAGGCCTACCCCTCCGCGTGACGTCACTCCATGTCACTCCGTGCAACGTCACTCCACATGCCGCACCCCTCCCCAAAAACCATTAGCGGGTGACGTCACTCCACATGGAGCAACCCCCCCCCTTCTCCCTCATTAATAATCATGAGCTGAACATTTTTTTCTATTGAATATTTGAGATTCACTGCAATATGCACCCGTCCATGGACGGGCAAAAAAAGCTAGCTTTAATAATAATAAGCCTTTTTCGAGAGACAAAAATATTTAAAATCGCATGAAAATCCACGTCGCCTACCCAACAAGGTTACATGCCTGCGTGCAGAGTC